ATAATTATAAACAGGAACCCCCCAAAAACAGTATAGGTACTTCTCTAGGCTTCTATATCATAGAACTCTACTATAGATCCCTTGTAGACCCCTTTAACGAACCGTTGAGATATGTTTTGGTTTAGGCTCCTATGCAAATCCCTCATAATGCCCTTGTAGTAATCCTTATAGACCCCATTAAAAGGAACCCTATTTGGAGGTTCATGGCTAGCTACAAGTAGGGTTATAAGTCCCCTAGTAGGAGTTATAACTATAGTTACCCTACATAACCCCAGTTATAACTACCCATGAACCTCCAAGTAGGCCCTGAAGCCTATACCCTTATAGAATCCCTACAGATCCCTTTAAAAGGGGCCCTTAAAGGCCCACTTATAACTACCCATGAACCTCCAAGTATTCTGATTATGAAGGCCTGGCTCCCCGCAGGATGGTGAGCCCATGTGGGCCATTGACATCCAGGAGCCGGATTCCCAGAGTTGATTTCGAACGAAGGGGTCCTCTAAAGGGGATCTATAGGGGATCTATAGGGTACTTCCAAGAAAGGGGTGCTTCAAGGGGATCTATAGAGGATCTGTAGTACTTTAAAGTGGGTCTATACGGGGATCTACTAGGGTTCTATGATACAGGGGCCTTGGTAATTCGAACAGGGTTGTGGGGTAGTTTGTATATAATAATAAACTCCCTCAAACTAGAATTGGTACTCAAGGCACCATGAGGATTTTGTGCTCAGTGTCTAGGACTGGGGGCTTTGGGTACCTCGGGTATCTAGATAACTGGGTTGGGGCTTAGGATTTCCCGGAGCCCCTTTCATGTTTGGCCTGTTCAGGTCAGTGGCAAGAGGCATCACGGCCAACTCTGTGCAGAACCCATACTTGGATATGCTGGAGCCACCTCCTCAGATGCCGAAAGCGCGTTCGGATTTGAGTTGGTTTTGGGGGTAGAAGCTGTCCTGGTTGAGCAAGGCCCTGGTCGTTCGTATGGTGGTATAACTGCATATGGACTACTACTTGGAGCTTCATGGGTAGTTATAAGTGGAGTCATAAGCAGGGTAATTACACGTGTAACTTACAACTCCTACTAGGGGACTTATAACCCCACTTATACCTACCTATGAACCTCAAAGTAGGGGATAGCAGAACCGATTGTTCAGACAATGTTAGCTACCCTAAACCCTCAGGTGCCTGAACATCTGTTTCGGAGAAAATCCGTTCCTGTTTGCATAGTCATTGTTGTTGAAAATCAGTATGGCTAGCAGCCCATTCGATGCTGATTAGCTGCATTCTTACAGGTGCTATGAAGTCTGCTGACAGTGTTCATATTGGCGGCCTTGCCTTTCGTGCACGCCGTGGTATATACTCGGTTGCAGGCCTGGTCATGTAGGTTTCGGGTTTGGGAATTGGGTGTTGTTGATCGGCTTTGACAGTAAGTAAACCCCAAACCATGAGACCCTCGCCCTACCCTAAGGCCTATATATGCAATCCTATATATGAACCCCAAAAAGGAACTACTATGGGGCCTATGGTCAAACCCTAAACCCTAGGCCCTAACAGCGGGCCCGCAGAATTTCAAGCCCTAAGCGCTAAGACCTCACCCTACACTTCAAGAACCCTCAACACTGGTCCGACAAAATCCCCTCCAGCGAGATAGCCGAGAAGCATCAACCCCAAAACGTTCAAGCCCTACAACCCTGAAGCCCTAAAGCCGCAGGCCCGAAGCCCTAAAACTCTAAGCCCTCAAGCCGCAAATCCGAAACCCGAAGGCCCGGTATTCTGACTGTAGCAGGGAGGAAAAGTGCCCGAAACAAAAATTTGGCCCTTAACCTTGAAGCCCCTCTGGACGATAGGTCCCTGAAACTGAAAGCCTTCTTGATGAATGCGGAGAAGGAGAGCCAGGCAAGTTCCTGACACACTAGGATTAGGGTTGAGGGCGCTGATATGGGTGTGGGTTCAGGATCGCCATACTCGTGACGGTTTAGAGTCAGGGTGTTGGGTTCACGGCTTAAGTAGGAGTTTGGGATAGCGTAGATTCGTCTACTCGACTTGTTTCGAGGGCAGCAGCCGCCATAGTGCCAACACGACTCATTGCTACTGCAGTACTCTACTGGAACTGAGAGTGAACCATGCGTCTTCTCCTGTTCCTCCTCCTTCTCCTCTTCCTACTCTTGTTCCTACTACTCCGCGGCAAGCAAGATTGAGGGCGGTGGACGCAGCCTTGGGACTACCTTGAAAATTGCCTAACGCAAAATTTGGGAGTTTCCGAAAATGGGGGGGGGGCCCTAATATATTACCTTAAATATAGTAGGGTACTTATGATAATGACCCCAACATAGGGTACCCCTTGTTTTCGGAATCTCCCATATTGAACTCCGTCACAGAGAGTCGTGTAGTGTTCTGCAAGCAGCGTTGGGATCCTCGCTGCCATGCTTCGTTGTAAGCCTAGCAGTAGAGTAGGGAACCTTTAACCTTTTGTTGGGTAGTAGAGTCCCTAAAACATCCTATTATAGCCAAAAATGTTAAACTTTAGTTCCCCATGATACCCGACAAGTAGGTAAGACTGCTACCTTCTGCCCTTCTGCCTTTGCGACGCTCGCAGCCCTAAGTATCCTACACCCCTTGCCAGAACCCAAGAGCCGGCTTAGCTGGCAGCCAAGCAAGTCGCCTTTGCAGGTGATGGACAACGAGGACATGGATGTCAAGGTGGGCTGATTCACTACCATCAGACCGGTCTTGCTATCAACAATGGTCCCGAAGCACAATCGAATGGTCCGACATTCTATTCATGCAATACTTCCCTTCTAGCCTGTTTTGGATTCAGGTGGTTGAGTCGTTGACTATTAAATTTGTAGGGCATCCGCACTTAGGATTGAAAGTTACAGTAGCTCCCGAAAAGCCTCCGCATGCCTCTTGATGCCAAGGGTCCGTGGGCTAAGCAATGCTAAATCATAAGCTTCGTGCTGTTTCGATCCCTTTCTGTATGTATGCATGCATGTATGTATGTCTGTATGATGTATGTACGCATAAAGTGTATATGGAATTATATACGCATGTACACCGTATGTGTGTGCTATGCCTTCGTTCCCACTCTCTGTGTGCATATATACTTCTGCATGTGTACATGTGTGTGTATATATATATATATAACCATATATACATACACATGTACATGCACCATCCTCGGTTTGCATGTGTGTAACTCCTCTGTGTGCTATGCCTGCGTTCTAAGCCTTGTCAGTTGGACAACGCCCCGCTGTGCGCCCTGATGCAGCAGTCCGTGGGCGATGTGCTTTCACCGCAGGACTGCTGCTGCTTGTCTTCCGGTCGATGGATGTCGAAGGGTGTAGGCGAATTACCCTTGGGTTCCATAGTATTTCCATTTTGTGGTTCATATTTGGAATCCTATAAGGTAATTCCAAAAGGAACTGCTGTGGAGCCCATGGGTTGGCGGTATAAGGTTTAAGGAACGTGCGCTTGTTTTGGGGTTTTTAAGGCAGGTTTCGGCTACAGCCTCGGGAGGGACCCGCAACCCAGACGTCCAAACCCGATAGGCAGAAAGATTAAGATTGGGCACTGTAATATAGTACCTATACTATTTTGGGGGTTCCTTTTTTTAAAAAATAATTTTTGTAGTAATGATGGGTCCCAGAACCCTATTCTAATTATTAAGGCTCCTATACTAAGCGTCAAGACCAAAGATCGCAGATCATGATCACGCTTTGGGCCTGGACTAAGACCTTGACGGTAGGGTTAAGGCTACATACCTTCGGGCCGTGATAGGCAATTCAACTAAAATCCGGGTCTGTGATTCCGAAGTCCTCGAAGCCCAACTAGCGAAACCCTGAATCGAAAATCATGGAAATTCGCACTCCCATGTAACCCCAAACTCTCAGCATGGGGCTTCAGGGTTTGAGGGGCTTCTTTGCCTGTAGTTTCCGGGCCCATTCTGTGGAAAAAGACAGGAATGTGATCCAGCATAGTATTTCTTGCTCAGCTGTGTGAGTCATGGCGCTTGCGCTGCTGATGCTGATGGTGAAGGGGCGAAGATAAGATAAGGGTTTGAGGAACTATGATGGAGTTTAGGGCTTTTGGGATTAGGAATTTAGCGTGGAGGTCTTAAGTTAAGGGAGTTTAGGGATCATGGCACGAGGGACATCCTGCCTCATTGCCCGGCCCTGTAGCTTCTCGAAGGCTTCATGCTGCAGCCGTTTTCGAGTAATGTCGGGGCCTAGATAATGACCAGCACTATTTTGGGGTTCCTTATTATAAATACTGTATGGTATACCCCAAAATGCTGTAATTGTGATGCACCTCCAGAGTTTTTGGCTTGAGGCGCCATGCAGAGCAAGTGAAGTCAAGGGAGGCTGTTCGCTGGGAGGTAGCAGTAGGACAGGCGTCATGAGCGTTCATGAGCTATGGGCACCCGCTTGGTATTGAGGACTTGCTACAGATGACATGCAGCAGTAGTATCCCTAAACCCTAAACCCTAAACTGTCGTTTCAGGTCCACAATGCGGAGGCAAAACTTACCAGTCAGGCCCGAACTTACCAACAGTTTTTTTTTTGGGGGGGGGTTCTAGGGTCCCGTACCACAACGACAACCCTAAAGCCTAAGCCCCGAACCCTCATGTATAACCACCACACTCAAAAACATATTGGTTGGTTGTCAAAATTATTGTCCCTTTTTTGGGTCTTTACTATAGTACGGCACCTAATATTTAAGGTACCCAAAAAGGGACCCTAATTTTGACAACTACCCATATCTCCAGAGCTCCAAGATGGGGCTGCTGGTCTGAGCCTGCTGCCCTCAGGGGATGTCGAAGGCAGGGCATCGTAGGGTTGAGGGTTTAAGGGTGTGTCTCTGGCATACTTGAGATGTCATTCTGCAGCATGGAATCTGCGAAAGCCTCAAAGTTCGTGATCGCACTCTTAGCAGCTTCTTCTTATCTCGAACAGCTCTTGGAATTAGCACACTTACCGGAGCTATTTCTGCAGGTGTTTGTTTGTCATGTCTCTCGAACTCCATGCCATGAGCTCAGATCGCTGATTCGTGTTAGCATGGTAGCCATAGTTCGGGGCTTATGCCGCAGGGTCTACTGCAGGGTTTCAAGTGTATATAGGTTTTAGGGCTCAAGCTCGAGGCTTCAGGGTTTAGGGCAGAAGATCCCGGATGAACATAAAGAGCTTCACGCGAAGCTCCCAGAAGTCCCTGGCACTCAGATGCTATAATGTGGGGCTTGTCTTCAACACCCACCGAAAAGGTATGAGCAACTTATGAAGGACTTCTTTACGAGCCCTACAAGCGACAAGCCCCATAGAAAAAAAACGAATCATAAATATCAACGGCAGAATTTGACCCTAAGCCATGAACCCCGGCCCATAAAGGCCCAGAAGGCCCCCTAAATTCTAAACCCCACACCCTGAAAAAAACTAAACCAGAAGGCCTCCTCCACTTCAGGTGGTGGTGGAGAGCTTGGGGTCGAACATCTCCGAGGGCATCTCCAATCTACAAGTTCGGCCACAGACCCTCTGCTTTCAAATGTGGGAGTTTCCGAAAATTAGGGGTACCTTATTGTGGGGTCCTTATAATAAGGATCCTACTATTTAGGGTGCTATATTAGGGTCCCCTATTTTCGGAAACTCCCATATGTGAACATCATTGAGAAAGCATGGGTTTCATAATGTGTTCAGGTCCAGGCAGGTTGCAACCAAAAGCCGCACCAACATAGCTGGACACCGGAAACGCGTTCTCATAGTCTACCAGTCTACCTGAACCCCGAGTACCTTGTCAGGGATCCTTATTTTCCCTATACGTACAAGTCCTCTACTAGGATGCCCAGTAGTACCCTTATTCCTTTTTTGTAGTCCTAGGGTTCCTTATAAAGTTATCGGAAAAGGGAGCCCTTGTTATTCCTAGGTTACTGGGCATCCTAGTCTAATTAGGCATTTGGGGATCCGAGGCTTCTCGGATTTCAGGCTCGGTCTTCGCAGGATCTACGTGCCGATGTCTCACATGACATGGGCTCTCAAGCTACCTTGTAACATAGGGGCCCAAATAAATACCTATACTATGTTGGGGATTCCTTATTGTAACTACAGTATGATGGGCCCCATAACCCTATTCGAATTATTAAGGCCCCTACAGTTTTGGGATTCCTTATTGTAACTACTACAGTATGATGGGCCCCCAAAACCCTATTCTAATTATTAAGGCCCCTACATTAAGGGATTTCATACTACAACTATAGTATGATGGGCCCCAAAACCCTATTCTAATTATTAAGGCCCCTACATTAAGGGATTTCATACTACAACTATAGTATGATGGGTCCCAAAACCCTGTTCTAATTATTAAGACCCTTACATTAAGGTCCTTTTTGAAGTCCAAGGGTTCTTCTGTGTGACTTTGGGATCCCCTGAAGAGCAATGTACTCTAGAAGCTGCCCCCACCCTGTAATAGTGGTATAATAGGAATATAATAGGGCCCTAATATAATCCTATATCATCCTTATGGTCACTATTACAGGGTGGGGGCCCCTTCTAAAATGTACTCTTGAAATAAGAAATGTACTCGCAGAAGTTAATATCACTTTACCTGGACCCCCAAAGGTATGTAGAATAATAGCCTTTTATAGGTTTTGGGCCATTCTTCTACCTACTTTTGAGGGTCTAGGTAGTAGCACGTTAATATACTACCATAATGCTCTACTATACGACAAGTCTTGCATAAGAGGTTACTATGCGTGGCAGGGTAGCAAATCGTCTCTGGTCCCTCAGTGCCTTATCACGTCCTAGGGGGCCGCCGCCAGAACCTGCTGATGGCTTTGCCGCTTGTTTCAAGTCTAGACACAATATATATATATATATATATGTATATATATATATCAGATTATAGTAATATATCTGTATATATATATATATAGAGAGAGAGATTAAAATTTCTTATAGGTAATATGCAATATACAATATTTACAGTAGAACTCGCAAGCTGGAGCGGAAAATTCAGAGATCCCGTCTTTCTTGGACACTGTCTCGAAGCCAAGGTTGCCTAGATCAAGGACCTTAGCCAACGCCACTATGAAACTTGCATGCTAGGTTCCGTTTGGAATATTCTCCTCTGTGTCACCCTGCTTCGGATTGGAAGAGCTGGATTATGGTGCATTCCTTGTGGTTTGCAAGCTTTCTGCGACAGAAAGCAGGATGCTTCTCTCGTTATTGAAGTGTTCGCAGGGACAGCACTACTTCGACAACGGGGGCTACCGCTTTCGCTGTGCAAACTACTTGTGCTGTTACTGCTGCTTCTCCTACTGCTACCAATACTGCTGCTGCTGCTACTACTACTACTACTACTACTGCTACTACTACTACTACTACTACTACTACTACTACTACTGCTACTGCTACTGCTACTGCTATTGCTACTGCTACTGCTACTGCTACTGCTACTGCTACTACTACTACTACTACTACTACTACTACTGCTACTGCTACTGCTGCAACTACTACTACTACTACTACTACTACTACTACTACTACTACTACTACTGCTACTTCTAGTGCTAGCGCTACTCCTAAATGATATTGGCTATCATAATCTTAAAGACTGCTTAAGAACAGTAAGAGAGTAGTAATAACAGTGATGCTAACAAAGCTTTTGCAGCGACCGCTATTGCTGCCGCACGACGGCAGAACAACAGCAAGCGCACCCCTGCAGCCTTCATCTATGTATCCCGAACAGCAACGGGCATATTTGGGAGTTTCCGAAAATTAGGGGTACCTTATTTTGGGGTCCTTATAATGAGGAGCGTACTATTTAGGGTACCATATTAGGGTCCCTATTTTCGGAAACTCCCATTTGGAAGCTGCATAGGGCCATGCACAGACTTGAGCTACGGCGACCAACTGCTCAACTACGAGCCCGAGCGAAGAAACTGGGAAGCTGAAGGTGTGAAATTGGCACTGCAGGTCACAATCGAAGTCTATGCTGCTTCTGTGAACTTCCCGGACTTGCTGATGACGTGCGGGGGCTACCAGCTACTCGATGTGCACTGCGAACTCGACAATCCATTTTATGCACTACCTTGGAGTAGATGCAGCTGCAACAACTAGGATGCCCAGTAGTACCCTTATTCCCTTTTTGTAGTCCTAGGTTCCTTATAAAGTTACCCAATACCAAAAAGACAGGCCTTTTTACTCTTAGGTTACTGGGTATCCTAGACAAGCATGTGCTTGAATGAGTCACAGGACCCAGTTTGGAATTGTGGGAAGAGGCTGCCTTCAAGAGGGGGAAGGAAAGTCGAGAGGACTGCAGTCAGTTCAACTTGAACCCTGAAATCTGCAACCAGAGAATCACTACACTCCGAACCCTAGTTTTTTTTGCTAAAGTTAAAATCCCGAATCTCACAGCCCTGAGGCCGTAAACCCTCAAATCCGAAAGCGAACACCAGATTCTTCAAAACCCAGGCCGAGCATATTGCTTGAGGGATTCGGGCTTATGATGGAAGAAACTATGGCAGACATATGGACAATATGGGTTTGGGGCATTATCGGACGTGGCAGGGGCAGTGGTGGTGGGCCTTACGCTTCTACTGGCACTCGGGCTTCACGCGGATATGTCACGGCCACACCAACAGCACTGTGGTGAGCGATGGGCGAGCGATGGCCACAGCCCAAAAGAAACCTTGGACACTACAGACTAACCCCCAAACCCAATTACCCAAAACTTCGAGGTATCGCCCAAAGCTTCCGTACACGCCTGGGACGGAAGCTGCCGGTATAATCCGGGCAGTGGGAAAGAAGGCCACTGTCCAGGGTTTAAGGTTCATGATTTAAGGTTCAGAGTTCGAGGTAGAGGCTTATGGTTCAGTGCTTAAGGTTTGGGGTTTAGGCTTGAAGGCTCCATGCACGCAACTGCAACACGTGGGCTTAGTGCAGCGAGTGGTAATGAGATCAGGCTTGTGGAAGAGACTTTCCATTCTTGTAGGTTCTTACTTCCTGCATCGCCGCAAACGAAGTGCATATGCCGGGAGTGGTTGCGAAGCTGGAGGAAGGAGGTCAGAGAATCAGCGGAGAGATCCGATCGCAACACGAACCATACTTGCTAAGACCTCTCTTGTTGCTTAAGACTCGGTGCAGTCTTGCTATGACTGTTCCCAAACGCTTGCACGCACACACAAAACTCCAGAGCAGAAGTTTTGACAGCAAGGCCCCCATTCTTCCAAACTCCAACCTGGCTGTAGAGTAGGTAACCTTTTTTGGGTAGTACAGGCCCTTCATAGTCCCTATATAACCAAACAGGTTAACCTTTAGTTCACCATGATACCCGACAAGTAGGCCAAAACATTGAACAACCAAGCCCCAAGCCCCAACTAACCCGGAGTCTGAAGCCGTTTCATTAATCGGCAACAAGGCCTAAGCACCCAAAGCAGTAGTAGGCCATTATCTGTCTGGTTCTTAGTAGGGCATGGGGGAATGGGTTATGGGGACCAATATTGTTGGGGAACATATAGGGACTAAAAGAGGGATCCATTCCCCCATTCCCTACTAAGCACCAGGGAGTAATACAGATGAAGCCAACCCTAAACCCTAAACCCATGAGACCCAGAGGTGAGCAGCTTCAGCATTGGGCAGCGGGTGATGGTCAGCCTGCCTGAGGTGCACCACAGACTAAGAGGTTTTTAGGGGTTTGGGTTTTAGGGGTTTAGGGTTTTAGGGTTTAGGGTCAGGATTTGAAGGGTTTAGGGCTTATAGGGTTTACCGCCGCTTGCGGTTCAGGACTTGTAGGTCCAGGGTTTATAGGCTTTGTGGGTGTCAGGACTTTCGGGTTTAGGGTTTAGGAGTTGCTGGTTAGGGCTTACCCTAACGCCAAATAACCCTACCTTTTTACGGACCTATACAAAGAAGTCACAATAAGGAACCCTAAACAGGTAGGTTCTTCAGGGTCAAGGTAGGACTTAAAAAATTGGGGTCTATGAGTTTAAGGTTCAGGTCGAGTCAAGGAGTGGAGGTTTGATTGTTAGGTCTGCAGATTCAGGAGCAAAGGCTTAGGACATCAGGAGCTTGGACTTTCCGAGAGACTAGGTTCGTATCTGCTGTGAAGTTTTATACTTTAGCTGGATCCTTCAACCTTACACCCTCGACCCACACCTTACACTCAGGGTGCAGTCCTCTGTGCTCTGGACTGAGCTAACTTTCATGCTGAGCCCATGAATCTGTGCATCATGTTCTGTCGTCAGAACCTCCTGTAGATCAAGTAAGCTGTGCTGGCAGCTTGCTATACACAAAGAACACTTACAGAGGCACGTCCTGTAACTATTGAAGCGTGCAGCCTACGGTGTGAAGAATCTCTGCAAAGAGCCAGTGTCCAGATAGTCATATCAATACACAAGAGTATGTCAGGCATGCTGCTTGTCTGCCTGCACGCATCCATATACATGTATGCACATGGGTACATAGATCATAGTCATTTTACATACTGGCTGCATGTTAAAATTCATCCATGCATGCTGGTGCACGGCAAAGCCCGCAACCCTCACCGCTTCCATACCGGGTTCATGGGAGGGCTGCATGGCCTCTTGGGTATCAGCGCCTGCGGCTGCCTGCACAGCCTTACCACCAAGGCCCGGGTGTAGTACACACTTAAGCCTTCAGTCGATCAGCGATAGACATGAACCCCTGAGCTCAGATACCCCAAGCCGTGGAGGGTTCTAGGGCCGTGAGTTGTTCGGATTTCAGGTTCCCCTCTCCCCACAGCGTTTGGGCAGGCAAACCCTGCACCCGTAAGCCCTGAGGCCTCAATAAGAGAAGCTATCCCGCAGTGCAGGCTCTCTTTTCGTGAGGGTGCCGCCTTCACTGTGGCCTTTACGACGGCTTACCATTGCCTCGTGGAGAGAGTCGGGGAGCCCAGCTGTCTGGAAGCTATGCGCCGAAACCTCCTCCGGCAACGACCTTCGAGTGTCTTGCCGGAATGCATTCTCTATGTAGAGTATTGCGACATGTCAACCCAGGCAGACGGCTCTTCGCTGAGTAAGGACAGTGTACGCATGCATCTATGCCTGTATGTATGCATGCACGCATGTGCCCCATCCAAATCTGCTGACATATGCATGACATGTATGTGCTGCAGAGACAAGTCAATGGTTTGGGTGAGATGATGCGCCTTCCAAAATCCACAAAACTCCATTAACTCCATGTCTCAACCCGAATGCATCTCTCGAACCCCATACTCAACTCTAAAGGGAACTCCAGAAAGTTGGAACATGGATTAATGGTAGGATCCCCTATAATTTACCTTAAAGGGGATACGATAATGATATTCCAACTTTCTGGCTTCTACTCTAAGTACAGAACAAGGCCTCCCCCCCGAGTTTTTGAGGCCCACACGGAGGCTCAGACCCACGATTCGGGCAGCCCGCAAACCCTCAACACGCAACCCTTCATCCCTCACCCCCCAGAGAGCCCAATACCCCTTAATTAAGGAATATAGCTTAAATCATAATATGCAGCCGTATATAATTTAAGCCATATTCCTCAATTAAGGGGTATTGGGCTCTCTGGGCCCTTCAGCCCTTTCCGTAGCCCAGATCTCAACCCAGAGATCCCTTAGGCCTGAGGCCCCAATCTATGAACAGTTCACAATAATTTACAAGACTATTCCGTGCCATGACTCGTAGTTACCAATGTTAGAATTCCTGAGATAAGTATGAATGAAGCCCTCTAAGTCAGAACCCGTAACCCTGTAGCGTTAGCCTCTGCAAGGCGCGTGTGTCGGCGGCAGACTGCGTGCTGGCACCCTGGCGATTGTCGGGGCTTGAAGGCCTAGGTGGTTTAGGGTTTGGCAAAATCTCGAGTTTGGAGTTTCATGGTTGCCGGGTGTGGGATTTGGGATTCATCAGGTTCCTGTTGCGTCGGGTTGGGCCCAGGGTTGATGTGTTTTTTGGCCCCGAAGCGAAGCGACGCTGCGAGGTTAACCCTCGAAGTCGAGCTGAGCCATAACCCGGAGATAAGAACAATAACAATAGGGGGTAAAACTTGCAACAAGAAAAAGACTAAGCTTAAGAGCAGCGATGATAAAGAAAAATACAGTTAAACAGTTGCAGTAGTAATAGTAGTAGCGACAAATGATGTTCATCAGTTTATGAGAAAGGGTTCCAAGGAAGCCATGCTCAAAGAGGAGTTTCACGAACTAAGCAACCCAAATGTTCTTCGAGCTTCAGTGTGTTCTAGCATCTTTGCTACCTCCATACAGAATCCAGCACGGCAACGCCCGTAATCCTTAACCCCCAAACCCGCAAACCTTAAACCCCTAAACCGTAAACCCCTAAACCCAAACCCTAAACCTGAAAGCCCTAAACCCTAAACCTCAAACCCCTAAACCCTAAACCTTAAACCCTTAAGCCCTAAACCCTCATAGAAGACCGACTCCGAGGTCTTCTATGAGGGTCTTACTCAGGCCATATCAGTGCTCCAGAAGCCCCGCCAAGCCCAAGAGTCTACTTAAAATCCGAGCCCTAGAAGATCGAAGCCCTTAGCCCCACATGCCTAAACCCTAAGCACTAAGCCCTACACCCTAAACCCTAAACCCGAAGTAGTTCGGATCCTTGCGAGACGTAGACGGGACGTTAAACAAAAGAGAGAAAACCCTGCGTAACTCGAGGAGCCCCCAAACCTTCAAGCTCCCCACATCCGGGAGGAGTCCTGAAGCCCCAAGAGGTAGTATAGGGGCCTTGATGATTAGAATCGGAGTTTGGGGCCCATTATACTGTAAGTATAAAGCCCCAGAAGTAATATAGGGGCCTTAATCATTAGAATCGGGTTTCGGGGCCCATTATACTGCAAGTATAACAAATACGGAGCCGCCCAGAAATGGTATAGGTAATTCTCTAGGCCCCTGTTTTCTTCGCCGAGGTTAACGGAGCCACCGGCGGTGTGGGTTTGGCTGCCATCCAGGCGACTCACAGCTTCGGATTTGGGGTTTCCCCTTAAGGGTTTAGGGGTTTAGGGTTGGGGGGTTTAGGGTTTAGGGGTTTAGGGTTTACCCTAGGGCTCCAGTTACCTAAATAGTAGGTTACTGGGGTACATAACATATGCTTAGTAACCTACTATTTAGGAAACTGGAGCCCTAGGGTTTAGCCGCTAAGCAAAGATGCTAGCCACTAACTACGGTAGGTTCGGAAGGGAATGGAGGCTGCGATGGAGGACAGGCTATAGGCAGGGTTTTTGTGTGTAGGTTTTGTGGGGTTGGGTCAACCCTAAACCCTAAACCCTAAACCCTAAACCGTTGCCCTGACAGCTTTTGCTTTGGGGTTCCAGGGTGCAGGGCTGCGATGTGACTTTTGCAGGTGCGCGTGCGATGATTGAATCGAAGGGAGATTGTTTTAAACTCCAAGGAAGACTCAGCCTAGGTTCCTGAGTAGTATCCTTTTGCACTTTATATTAAAGCTTATGCCCACTTAGACTTATTAAAGCCAAACAGTAGATTCTTTACGGTTTTTTTCAGGGATCCTGTAAGGGTGCTTTTAAGGCCCGCAGTGGGCCATCGATTCTATGGCAGTTTTCTGCGGTTGGAAAAAGGGCACCCTTGTTACAAAAGGGCTACCCAGGAGCCTAGAATGCTGCTGGAGCCCGGAAGACCGAAGTCCCCGATCCATGCTGAACCCCGAAGCCAGGGCCCGGAAAAAAGCACAGAAGCAAAATTTAGGATTGGGTATCCCATATAACCCCCCCCCCCTATAATGCAGCCCAACAAGGTAGGGATATCACCAGAAAATGCTTATTATGCTTATGTGCTTTTGGGGTCCATAAGAAGCACCCCCAAGACCCGTCAAACCACTTTCAGCTTGCAAAGGCCACTCCCCAATGCCAGGAACAGATTCAGGACGCAAGGTTCAAGGATTGCTTGTATAGGGTCCTTAAAAATTAAACTAGGGTTTTGGGGCCAATTATACTATAACTATAATGAGGAAGCCTATTCTACTTGTTAAAGCCCCTACAGTAGTGTCCGCCAGAACCTCAAGCTTGAAATCCAGACCAAGGTTCATAAACTCAGACCGAAAATCCTCAAGCCCTATTCAACACCTACAGTAGAAGCCTAAAAGTTGGAAACCCCATAGCCTCAGTCCTTCGGGAATCCCAGCACTATTTGGCCTTAATCCGGCTTGAAATTTTCTGGGGTTTACTGTACGTAACAGGCCTCCGAACCCAAGAAGGCCTCAACCGCCTCGAAACTTGGAGGTTCATGGGTAGTTATAACTTGGCGTTCTTCTGGTTGGCTCTTTAGACTTTAACTTTTTGGGTTTCTGTATGAACTATAATAAGGAGGCTAAAAGTTCAACTTTTAGGAGGGGCTCAGAAGTCAGCCAAGATAAGTCTAGTTGAAAGTAGGATACCTATAGTTATACCCCTATATTAAGGGGCTTAAAACCCACTTACAGCTACCCGCTACCCTAGACCCTAAACTCTATCCCTTATAACCCCCAAGAACAGGTGGCACGTGCCTTGAAGTGCCGAAAGATCATCGCCACCGGTCGGGGACGCGAGAAGCTGGAATCTCGACGTCGGACATGAGGGCTTGGGAGTGATCATAATGTACTATACTATAGTATGTTATAATATACTGTAATATTATATACTGTTACTACCTTTTCTTGCGAATTACAATCTACTACAGTCTAGGCTTTTGCGGTGCAGGATTTGGAGTAACGCGTTTAGGGTTTAGGATTGGGCTCAAGGCATCTTCAGACTTTCATTTGACCAATCAGTCTGGCTAAGTTGACCCCAATCAAGTAAAGCGACCACTGGCACTGTGCATTTTTGCTGGTTTTGTTGTCAGGATGTTTGGTATAATTCTCAAGTCGTCAGGTTTATTGGGCTTTCTGGGTTTGATGCCCCTTGGCCGCTGTCCAGCTAAGCCGAAACTCCCAATCGCGTGCCCACTCATGTTGCTGCAGCTGCTTTTTGCAGGCGTTTTGGTTTAGGGTTTCGGGTTTAGAGTTTGTGCTGCCCATCTCCGAATCTGATCTTGTGTGCTACCGTTTAATATTAGATGAAGATCAGATAGTAACTTGCTGAGATCCTACCTAAACCCCCCCAAAAGCCTACCGTTTCAGGGACTCATACAAGGCAACCATAATAAGTAGCCCTCTACAGGCTCCAGGTATGCCCTACTTGGAGGTTCATGGGTAGTTATAAGTAGGGTTATAAGTCCCCTAATAGGGTTTATAACTTTAGTTATCCTACTTAAAAGCCCCACTTATAGCTACCCATGAACCTCCAAGTACAGCGGCTTTCCGTCAGCTTAGGAGGTGGTCGAGCGACTGGGCGCCACCTGCTGCTTTAACCTGGAGGCGCTGATTGGGGGGGGGTCGGGTTTAGAGGTTTGGGGTTTAGGGTTTTCGGGTTTAGGGTTGGGATTTAGGGTTTAAGGTTAGGGTTTTAGTCTTTAGAGGTTTCCGTTAGCAGATCCTGTCTTTCCCTGACTTTAGAGGCTTGGAATGTATGGTTCGTTGAGAAATTCTTCTGGGGGAGCGCTTCCCCGAAAACAACCTGGCTAGACAATTTCAGTAGGTTACAAATTAGCAGATTAAACGTATAATGTTGCACATTAAACTATATAATTAGTCGTTCCCATTTGGGTTCAGAGTCTGGCAGGTCTGTGGAGTCTAGTGCTATGGACTCAGAAGTCTGTCAAGTTGCAAGGTATTTCAGGCTTGACTAGCATGACCAGCAGGTAGACATACTTGCAGAAGCTTTAGCTATGGTACATGGCACTGCTCGGGAATCTTTCCCATAGTGTTGTAATGAGATACCTGTTGCGACTACTGGCGGCTTTTCTCTGAGAGAGAATTAAATTCGACAGGAGGTGTCGCTGGCCCATGCGCTGAAGACTGAGACGGACGGCCGTGGCTGCTGGGCTCTGACGAACGGGGGATGAGATGCTTGTGTGTGTATGCGTCACTCCATTGCGTTGAACTGTTCTTGTATGGCAGCCATGTAGCGAAATGTCGTGTAAGGTATTGTAATTGTACCGTAGGCATGTATGAATATACTACATGAGTCGGTAGGTCGGTCGGCAGGTCGTCGGTCTTGCAAAACGTTGTATGTACATGGAAAGATGTAGACATATGTGTTTATCGCATATTTTATCTCTCTCGCTCTCTCTTTATCTCTCTCTCTCTCTCTGTCTCTGTCTATTTGTACTATGTATACACAGACATGTACATGCATACATGCAGATGCACACGGAACAGAACAAAAGGCTCTATCAACAAACAAGAGAAATCCGAGGAGCACCTGCAAGGTGCTAACACTCGCTCTATGTTGAGATTTGCCTGGGCAGCGCTGTCAGGTTCCCGATTGAAAAGGAGTCCGACATGGCGTCATTCACATTTTTCAGCAGGGAACGCCAATACAACTAAACCGCCCTCTAAACCCTACACCTCACAGGTTTTTGTAGAACTTCTGCTAAGTTTTCGAAGTCCAGAGCTTTTCCTTGCTTTCCGAACTTCGGGGTGGACGCTCTGGCTTCCCCCGTACTGTAACCCTGCAGTCAGTAGACCTCGGATGACAGCGCGAGCATCTCGTCTGGATGCCCTATCGCTCCAAACCGCAATCTTGGTCTCCGGTTCACAAAACATTGATCCCCGAGACGGTCACCAAAAGCAAGCCATCTCAGGCGTGGATGTGGTTTTCGACACGATTGGAGGCGAAGTCTTCGAGGAGTCTTTGCGCGGCACAGCCTGGGGCGCACGTGTGCTTGTGGTGGGCTTTGCATCTGGGAAGCACCCGAGCATCCGCGCAAACTACGCCGCTTTGCCGGATTCAGGGGCAAGAGACGAGGGTCTTGCAACGAAATTCCTGGTGGAGTTGTGGATCCGATGTTGACGAGTCTGTTTGTTATATGCAATGAAGTTAATGGCGGATTGATGTTTCGCGGCTGTGGGCTACCTTCTCCATTGCCTGATTATGGTGCTAGACTCTGCTACTTGGAATCAGAGCGTGTATCAACTCATGCTCTGTCTGCAAGAGAACGATCGAGAGGGCAAGAAAAGAGAGAGAGCGCGAGAGGGAGAGAGGGAGAAAGCCAGAGAGAGATGCCCAGAGCCTCCAAAACCCCTTAATTAGGGAATATACCTTAACTCATATAAGGGATCCTATTATAATTTAAGGTATATTCCTTAATTAAGGGGTTTTGGAGGCTCTGGGCAGAGTGAAGCCCCGATCGTCCGAGTCACCACTGTTGCTGTGCTGGGTAATTTAAAAGCCAGAAAGTTGGAATATGATTATCCTAACCCGTCTATGGTAAATTATAGTGTATCCTACCATGAAACCATATTCCAAGTTTCTGGAGTTCCCGTTAATGCGGCTGAAGCGAGTTTGGTACACTCGCGGTTGGCAGTTGGCACTGTCAGTGTTATGTACGCGATCACAAGCACATACCAGGCTTCCAGCTTTTGCTGATTACTATGGGGCCCTAAATAATTAGCTACTCATACTATATTGGGTTTTTTTTTTGCAGATATAGTATACTGGGCCCCAAAACCCGGTTTTCATTATTAAGGTTCCTATATGGTACTGATTATTGCTTCCATGATTCGTGTTGGCCGATGTCTCTGACCTGCTTTTGCTTCATCGTCATGTTTACTGCACTGTGCTTCTTTGGTTTGAACTTCTACCTTGCGAATAGCAGGCAACCTCAAACTGTAAACCTTATACCGATGATATACATTACTTTAGTACACGTCCTCGCAAATCCAGTTACCCGTGGCAGGCGCTGATCAAAGGGCTGACCATCATGGGATGCCGTGCTGGCGAAAGTGCACGCTGCGACCCAAGTCGATGGGAAACCTTTGCTGCTGAGATCTTCAAAAAACCCTGCCGCTGCATTGGTTCCCGCATTCAGTAGGCATGACGTAACCCATGGTCAGTTTGTGTGTCTGTCTGTCTTTTTGCCTCTCTGTCTCTGTGTCTGTCTGTGTGTCTTCTCTCTGTCTGTTCGGTCGCTCTTCTGCTGGTGTTTATGTATGCATATATGTTTGTATGCATGCATTATGCACGTCTGTATGTATGTAGGTGTGTTTGCTTGCTTGTTTGTTTGCTTGCTTTTTTGTTTGTTGGCTTGTATGTGCGTTTGTTTGTTGGTAGGTATGTATGTCTGTGTGTGGGTGTATGTATGTGTATGTATGTTTATGTACGTATGCATGTATGTAGGTAACATGTACGTGCGTATGCATGTATGGATTTGCATAGTATGTGTATTGAAGTTATTAAATCCCCAACCTGTCAACCCTGATGCCTAAACAGATGCCCAAACCGTCTTAAGCACTCTAAACCCTAAAGGTTAAACCTTTACCTAGACCCTCAAAAGTAGGTAACATAATGGCCCAAAACCCTTAAAAGGCTATTATTCTACATACTTTTGGGGTCCAGGTAAACCCTAAAGGTTAAACCTTTAGTTACCTACACGAATAGCCGAGAGCCGAGGTAGAGATCCTTCTCTGCACGTCCCGCGCATGAAGCAGCTGCTGGCCGTGAGAGCAATATGTGTTTTTTATTGTACAGCACTGTACTACTGTAAATACTGGACAATTGTCTTCATCTTGTGCTACACTGTATTGCAAATCATACTCCTATTCTGTTCTAGTCGATTCAATTCTATTTCGTTCTTTTCCGTTTTTATGTGGTTCCTGCTCTATGAAGTTTCTGTTGTGTTGCTTGCACGTCGCCGCATGTTCTGCGCTACCCAATGTTACACAATATTGTGATTAGATCTTGGTTTCGATCAGGTGTCCTCAGTTTAGATTGGCATAGGTCAGATATATACACGAGTATGAGTATGTGTATATACATGCATATATATATATATATACATATATATATATATATACACACATATACGCATCGGCATATGTTGACCGACGTTGTGGGGCTTGGGGTTGAGGAAGGTCCAGGACAATGATTCCTTATTAACATTATGGTAGAATGGGCCCCAAAACCCCATTCTAATTGTTAAGACCCCTATATTACTCCTGTTCCTGCGTGCCTCGACACTCTGTGACGATACCGTCCGGTATACCGCGGAGCCCGACTCCAATCAATACGCTGAGGAATGTCAGCCTTCGCGAAAAATGGGTTTGAGCCATTACTCATATTATTCGTGGGGTTCATAGGTGTACAGTATCATGCAATTCCTGGAAAAGATCGCACGGGCCTGACCCCACACCCTATACCTATCATTGCACGGCCCGCTGAACCTAATGCTCAACCCGGCCCAAAGACAACAGCCTCCCAGAAGCCTAAAGATGTAGAGCCTTTTACCAAGCCTGAACGTTCGGAGCTTTGCTCTACCCTCCTTCCGGTCAGAGTCAGTGGCCCTTCTCTGGTGTCTCGGCACCTGAACCGCGGGCCTCATTTGAACGCCCGAATCTCGTGGCCTTGAACCCTAGACGTCTACTGGTCAGGCTATGGGCCGTAGAACATTGGGTAAGGAGCCTTGAACGCTGGACCCTTGTATGCCCATAGGCCCCAAAGTAGTTCCTTTTTGGGATTACCTTATAGGATTCTATATATGCACCCCAAAAAGGGCCTTAGGGTAAGCTAACACCCTGCAAAGCACCTCCTTCTTCCAGCTTAGGCTGCTTGACTGGGTAGCCGCTGGCGAGATTTGCCCCCACGTATCGCATGAATTCGCGGTGGAGGCCAGACTTCGGGCATGGAAGCAGGAAGGTTTAGCAATAATGACTTGTTATAGCTGAGGTATGCTGTACCCGAAAGTCGGAGTTCATTTCTGAATGCCCCTATCCGAGAAAGGTACAAAGCAGTTTACACGTCCGCTTATCGCACACGATTATCCAAATTCACGCTACGCAAACTCTGCGATCCCATTTAGTGGGAATCCCAGAGCCCAAGCCCAGGCCGTAAGCCTTAAACATCAAATCACATACTTGCAGGTTCATGGGTAGTTATCAGTGGGGTTACAAGTAGGGCAACTGTAGTCATAACTCCTATTTGGGAACTTATTACACCATTCATATCTACCCATGAACCTCCAAGTAAGCTTGCATCATATCAGCGGAGCGTACTCGGTGCGCTGTGAGAACCTGAAGCGCGAGATTCGCGGAAACCAGCAACACTCAAAACGGTATTTTAGCCTTTCGGGCTTCTTTGTAGTGGGGCTTCATTTTGTTCGACTTCCTGAGGCTTCCAGGGTTCTTTTAAGTTTCAAGCCTTAGATCAACATCTGTAAACCCTTAGAAAGCTTGAGACTTCCATCCTCAAGCCTAGACCCCAGTCGGTTTAGGGGTTTCAGGGGTCCCCGTGCAAATGCCCAAAGGTTCACTTCGTCGACCTCGGACCATAGGCTCCAGAGTAGTTCCTTTCTGGGATTTCCTTATAGGGTTCTCAATATACTTGGAGGGTCGGGGGACTTAGTAAGTAGGTAGTAAGTAGACTTATAAGTACCCTAAGAGGGATCCTAATTGGGGTTATGGTACTTATAAGCCCCTAGAATAACCAGTTACTAAGCCCCCTAAAGACCCTCCAAGTATGAACCCCAAAATGGAACTATTGTGGAGCCCTAACTAAGGTAGACCATAAAGGCCCTGAGCCATCCTGAACCCGTGCAGTCATATTCTACAATCCTGCCCTACTGCCCTACATACCGGTTTAGGGTCTAGGTTTTTCATAATTCATAAATCCTTGTCAGAATCCGTTAATACAAAGCTCATGATACCTGGACCTTCCTTCTTCAATTCGACCCTAAATACCTACAATGAGGGAGTACTAGGAGAGTCGAGGGTCTTGGGTCAAGCCGAATACCCTAAACCTTAAACCCGATAGTACATGGGTGGTTGTCAATATTAGGGCTTGTTTTGGGGTCCTTGTTATAATACGGCACCTAATCTCTAAGGTACCTAAAGAGGGACCATAATTTTGACAACCACCCACATCCTTTCAGAACCCTTTCTACAGACCTTGTACCTTACAGTACCTTTGAAGCCGCGGAAGGATGTGGAGGCAGCCTTCCGCACTGTCCTCGAGCGCCGCGTCATCGGCAAGGCTGTAGTCACCTTCGTCCGATCCAAACTCTGATCCGCGGCTCCCCAGAGACGTTTTTGAGTCTGGGGTTGGGTTTAAGGGTTTGGAGTTCGGGGTTCGTGGGTTTGGGTTTGGGGATTCAGGTTTCGGGGTGCAGGGTTCGAAGTTTTCGGGTATGTTCGGGCTTAGGGTTATTGCGGATGGAGCCATGGCGAATCGTCGGTAGTACGTATCTTTGAAGCAGAGTTTTGGAAGCGGCTCATAAACGGCTGCTTCTTCAATGCGACATGCATACTCCACTCATCATCGCTTCAGTGAGTCGCGCATACGCCGAGGAAGCAACGGGAAGCCACCTGGACCTGGCGCTCGTTTTCAGACATTGCAATGCTCACAGATCTCCAGCGATTTCCGTACTTCGGACCTCCTCCTCTCTGGTACTACAGGGAACTCCAGAAAGTTGGAATATGGTTTCATGGTAGGATACCCTATAATTTACCATAGAAGGGTTAGGATAATCATATTCCAACTTTCTGGCTTCTACTGTACGGTATTGGACAACGAGTGCAACTCAGATGGGGCACAGGAACCTCCGGCCGCCACAGGCGCAGCAGCTCATCTGTCAGGGCAAGCCGGGCAAGCTGCGTTGGTCAGGAGATCGTCGAACCCACAGACGTGATGTGGCGGACTTGAAGGTCACTAGATATACGATTTACGACAGGTTTACTTACAAGTTTACCATAAAGATGCCATATAATATTTGTAAGGCTATTAATAGGATGGCCCCATGAAGATACCCTTGCTGCTGCTGGCTCCTACCTTGTACGGTTGCCGGCAACCTCAGCACCTGGAACGGTCATTCCCCAACAAGCTCTACTATCAATTACTAGCGCGAGCAGAATCAGCGTCAGAATTGTGAACGGGCCTTTCGAACAACCGTAGTCATCCAATTGTTGAGCATGATATCGAACCCTAAGGGTCCAAGTACCTTACTATCATCTACTCTCCAAAATAGTAACCTACATAACTACTATCCTAAAACCGAGTACCTAACTATTGTGTCCTTTGGACCTTTGGGGGAAGTTTGACATTGCACTCCGACTGGCGGGCTCTCGAGCATGCTGACGGAAAAGACCTTGTCTGGCATGAGGATTTGGGGAGTTTCCGAAAACAGGGTTACCTTATTTGGGGGTCCTTATAATAAGGATCCTACTATGTAGGGTACTATAATAGGGTCCCCTATTTTCGGAAATTCCCAATTTCAGGGCAGTGATAGTTTGGCATGTTTTGTCTCCTTACTGCCGGACTTGATCCCGGTATGTGGATATTGTCCGATGTGGTATGATGTGGTGTCCTCCCGCATGAGGCTTCCAGACCGCATTGGTATGCAAGCAAGATATCGAAGCCTAGAAGCTATAATCCTTAAACCATACACTGGCGACTCATTTTTTCAGTGCCCTGCATTGTTGCATACAGATGTGAAGAATTTACTTACGAATAGAAGTCGATAGTTTTTCCCGAGTTACTCCGGACCCTACGTGGAGGTTCATGGGTTGTAATAAATGGGATTATAAGCCCCCTAATCGGAATGATAACTCGAGTTACCCCACCTATAACCCCACTTATAACTACCCATGAACCTCCAAGTAGGCCCTAAACCCTATACCCTCATAGAATCCCTATAGATCCTTTTAAAGGGGCCCTTAAAAGGCACCCTTAGAACTACCCATAGTGCCGAAGCTCTCCTGCCTGGACCGAGTGCCCTACACGCTGAAGTTTGATCTTGAAGCCCCAAAGTCTACTAGGATGCCCACTAGTACCCTTATTCCCTTTTAAAGGGATCTATAAGGGCTCCTTAAAGGGATCTATAAGGGTTCTCGAAAGGGTTTAGGGTTTCCGAAAATTAGGGGCTAGGATGCCCAGTAGTACCCTTCTTCCCTTTTTGTAGTCCTAGGTTCCTTATAAAGTTACCCAATACCAAAAAGAGAGGCCTTTTTATTCTTAGGTTACTGGGTATCCTAGTCTAAAACCGCGCAACGTAATCCCCCAGATCGGAACCCTCAGCACGAAAACCCTAGAACCTTGAGCAAAAAACCCCAAGCCCTACAGTATAGCCAAAAACACTGTAGACTGATGCTAAGACGTACCTTAACCCGGAAGAACCTACATTTTTAAGGACTTATATAAGGAAATCATAATAAGGAACCCTAAAAAGGTAGGTCTTTCAGGGTTAAGGTATGCCTTAAACCCTAAACTTGCACCTCAAAGCCTAAACCTCGTGAAGGAGGAGGCGATTCTCCTGGCCTTGGCTGAGGAATCCTCGGCCAAAGCAGCAGTGGGAGCCCTTGACAACGCTTGGGTTTGGGGTTTAGGCGTTCGGGTTGAGGGTTCAGAAAATTTTGAAATTGGGGTTTGAGCCTTTCGGGTTGAGGGCGGAGGTGTCTACGGGTGTAGGGTCTACGGCTCGGTTTACAGCGCAAGGGTTTGCTGTAATCTATTGGAAGTTCTAAACGCATTCCAGGAACCCCCAAGTCCCAAATACGGAGGTCAATTGGACGTGGTGTGCTTCCCAGGTAACACAAGACGCTTTATCCGACACCCCTCAAACGTCATTCGAAATGCCTGGATGTCGCCTGCGCAGGCAGCGAGACCCCTGGCAGAAGCCGTGCTGGAGCTGCTGAGGTGGTCCTCTCTGTATTTTCTAGGTCGGAAGTCGGAGCTCTCCACCTGGGGGTACTTGGAAATACTTTTTAGTCTTTGGTTCGTTTCATCCCTAAGAAACGGCTACAGTAGAATTATATTTTTCTAGAGGTCTAAGTTCAGTAGAGTTCATATTCCAGACTTGCATGGCAGCGGCTGACAGTTGTGTCTCTACGCATTTCCAGGATTGAAGGGCAGCCCCAAGCTGTACGCCTAAAGTCGACCCCAATGTTGCAAGACTTCATTTCATAAATCCTAAACTCTTTCATGTCCCTACTGCCACGCCCCAAACCCGGTATTGAAGGTGAGGTGCGAAGAGCTAAAGTCCTTTCCCCTGATCGTAAGCAGAAATTATCGCCCTTCACCTGCGGTTAGTAGGGAATGGAAGAATGGTAGTAGTTGTAACTGCACCCCATTCTTCCACTAACCAACGCTAAGGAAGCCCAAGGCCAAGACTCCCAAACCCAACTGTCTTGAACAGGCAGGCGAGAATTCGCATGGACGACGCCGAGGCCGGCGTCAGAGCAGTGATGATCTGTGGTTTGGGGTTTAGAGAGGGCTCAGAATATCCGTCGCAGGGACGGAATCGCTAGCTGCCCCAGTGCAACAAGCACGCCTTTTCATCCTTCGCCTAGTTTTGAGCCACGGCTGGAGGATCGCCCGCGTGGCACCGTGCTAAGCGGAAATTCCGCTCACGTTGCCGCAAACGCCTTCACCGGCGAAGACAGACCGGCCTCAGGCCGCTTGCGAGAGACCTTCGGGTTCTCTCTTCACATCACTCAGCACCACCTTTCGGCTGGGGGATGGGTCGTGGCGGGCAAAAGTACAACGAGAAACCATGGCAGCCCCGAGGAGGACGATATGGACAGGGCTACGAGCAAGATGGTGCAAAGTGGTCCTTGTGGCCTGGGTCTTACAAAGCCTCGCCACGTGGCGGTCGTTCGGACAAGCCACAGACGCCGTCGTTTCCGGCGTACGATGCAGCATGGAAGAAGTCAGCCGAAGTTATGGAAGTGCCTCAAGCTCCGTCGGCTCCCTCTGGTGGGCGCGGTATTGTCCGCGACGTCCAGGGAGCTGTGAATGCTGCCAGAAAACTGGAGCAAAAGCTGGCCAAGACCCAGAAGGAAATGCTGCAGAAAGGACAGGCATGGGACTCGTGGGTCCTTTCGATGAGAAGCTCGTACCAGAAAGAATACGAGCGACACAGGGCAGAACAACGACGGTTGTCCCTCGAGATCAAGGACCTGGAGGAGCAGACTCAGTTTGCCTACTCCCAGGTGCAGCTGTGTGCCACCCACAAAGTTCCGACAGCTGCGGCGCCGCCCCCCTTGGATTGGGAAATTCCGGGTGTGGAAGAGGCTTTACCGGAGCTGACAGAGGATCAAACACGTGCGGAGCTGCAACGGATTTTGGCCAAAGCACCCCCGGGCTTGACTACGCCGACTCGAGCAGAGACTACGGCTCCCAGGTCTCCTACTGGGAATGCTGCCCCTACGGCCACTTCGGCAATGGAAGTGTCACCACCTGCCGCGGCTCCACGAGATCCCTACATCACAACCATGCCGCCTACACCGGCCCCACATGGTGCTCCTGGGAAGACTATGGGCCTCATCGATCCCCGACAGCCTCTGCCACAGGACAGAGCAACAGCGCCATCGGCGCTCGCAGACAAGCTATCCGAAAAGAGGCGAGCGTATCGATCAGCTATGGCTCCCTTCGGATATGTCCGAAAGCCCGATGTGGACAATATGGACCGAGCGGCCCTTTCGAGCGAAAGGACAGGCCGCGATACAGGCCAGCTCTTTGTGGACGACGACTACGACGATCTGCAAGCAATGCCATCCCCTGGCTTTGGGGCCATGGAGTGAGCAGCAGTAGGCAGAATTCCCAGCTGCAAAGTCCTGTTACCGCGGGGATCGACAGGCTACCAGGACCACCTGCAGTAGGAACTTCTTGGGAGAAGTTCCTTCTGCAAACGCTTCCTGTTGGCCAATGTCTCTCTTGCTGGAAACTGGACTGTGCGATCTGTGGAATTCTGCGGTCTCACGGTAGCTGGTGCTTTTCTTCCAGAGAGGCGATGCCTCTCTGGACCCCTGGGAGAGTAACGAAAGGTGACAGGGCAGCCCTCTCTTACCTCATCCCTACATTCCTGCCAGCCTGGATTTGGCTTGTTGTTACGAGGGACCTCATGAGACCCTTTGACTTGTCTCATCCCTCTCCTTTTCCCATGCCTGCATGTCCAAATGCGCCAAAAACGCGTATCGGTGGCTCTGGGACGCGTGCTACGGACAAGCAGGCTGTTTTTCATACTTCTTCTGTGCCGACTGCAATTTCTGCCCTTGGCTTTCTCGGAAGCGATCCACCTTTGTGTCGGTCCCATGTTCCCCTCCCGACCCTCTCGGGTTTAGGCCCCCACCTCTCTTCGGGTTTTCTAGTGCACTGCCATACTTTGCCTGTGATGGCAAGCTCCTCTTGGTCTGGGGACCAAGACGCTTCGTGGCCGCCAGGCCCGACAATCCTTTGGCTGCTCTCAGCATCCTGTGCTTCCTTTCGCACTGTGTACGGCCTCTTGTTTGGGGCACTGCTCATTGCGCACCTTCGCGTCCTGACTGGTCGCAGCCTTCGCAGCCACGGTACATCCAGTTCCGTTCAGGCAAACATGGTCACGCTGATTCGGCCTTTAGGCGGACTAGGCCTCATGTCAGGGCCCCTTGACTGGACACTGCATAGCACTCGCAAACCTCGTGCAGTCCCAAGCAGGACACGAACTAGTCGATTTGTGCAGCGCTTCTTGAAGACTTTGTTTTGTTTTGCGTGGACCAGTTTTGGGTGCCTTCCGGTGCAAGCTTGGGCTGCCCCACCAGGGTTAACAACCCTTGTTGAGATGTGCACGGACATCACACTAGGGTTTCCAGAGAATCTGCCGCTCCCATCCAGGGAATCAGCAACGGCTTCGACGCATGCCCGGCTAGAGGACATAACTGGTGAGCATGTAACAGGTTCCGCTCCGGTTGCCTTTGGGGCTCTAGGCAATCGCACGGTTCACTGTTTACTCATGGCACCTGATTTTGTCTCTGAGCAGCTTGCCCTGACGGTTGAAGCACCAATTCTTACGGATGTTTTCATGTGCCAGGCTGTAGCGGAATCTCGCCTTTTGCCCAGGCTCTCCTCAGCCCACTTGGTACCGGTCAGACCTCAGCCTGAGGAAGGGTATGCTACGTTCGTTATCTGCCCTGACTGGACCAGCCCCGCTAGGAAGGCTTCAGTAATCCTCGACTTCTGGGACCTAGGAGGGCCGACTTATGCGCGCATAGTCAACCCCCAGCTCACTTTCAAGGACTTGGAGGACGAAGCCAGCCGGCACGGCTTCGACCGCTTTGACGCCTACCTAGGAGGAGACGACACAGTCCTGAATGCTGCTAGTGTCACTACTATCGCAGATGGCACTCTCGTTACCTTCATGCGTGTTGGTCTTCCACCTCGTTGGCATCAAGAAATCGACCGATTCCTAATGCAACCCGAGGAATGGATAGACAGCCCCAGGTGTATGCGTCTCGAACAACATTCCGACCACTGGCTTGTCATCAGGCCTGACTGCACCAAACTGATGGCATACTCCACTGAATCGGACTACAGCCTGCAAGAGGTAATTGCTACGCAGATGCACCAATACCCCATAAATGTTAATGTTAGGATGCCTGTTTCCGAGGCCAGGCTTGAAGTTGTTTTCGATGGATACCATGTATCCAAGATCATTGCTGCAACACCTCGGTCTGTTCCGGCTCCTGACAGGGCAGAGTCAGACACCTTCGTCTTTCTTGATGCCAGGCAAATGGGACAAGGCATTACCTTCCACCTGACAAGTACGCCTTTGCTCACCCTTCGTGAGGCTGCCGAGTCTTTGGACACCTCTGTAGCCCCAGGATTTAGAGTCTATGCAGAGCACCCCAGACTCCAGGTTGAGGGCCTTGCCGTATCCAACGGAGATGTCTTAACTCTTGGGTTCGAGTTAGACCCAAACCCTTCACATGCATGTGAACCGACCGGCACTGCTCCCATTCCGGCCGAAGTGCCGCATTTGGCAAGCACCTTCGATGAGCTGCCTTTTACCACAGGGCCGAGTGAGGCCGCCCGCCTTTACCCTGATCGCCCAGCATCTGTGCCAACCTCTCGCACGGTTGGCTGCATAGTCTTGGCTCCAGCACACACTCCGGAGAAGGTTGAAGTTGAACTGAACCTGCCGTGCTCGGTTCATGCTGCAGGACAGGCGATTGCCTTGGCACGAGATGAACGCCTCTCCCTGCTCTTTGAATACCTTGTTCCAGCAAAACCCCAACCGGATTTGGGTTTCCTGACGGTGCTTGCAGCACCGCTATGGGCGGAAACGAACGTTTTCGTCCTTGTTGATTCGAGGCGGATTGATTCGCGTCTCTTTCACTTCACCTCCGGAGATAGGCTCGCCAGGGCTGCCTTTCTTGATAAGGTTGGGCTGCAAGAAAGGCCAGGGCTCCGAATTTATGTCAGAGGATATCTTGTCCCGGAAACAGATACCCTGATCTTCGGGCCCTGATCTTCGGGCAAGGAGACACGGTCACCATCCTGCCACCAGGGACACCTCTAGGCCTCATGACCAGTCTCGAAAACTTGCTGGAAACTCTTGGTGATAGAGATGTTGTCATGCCCTCCTTTCCTGGCCCTGCACCGGCTGCTTTCGGGGTGCTCTCGGATGAAGGACTCAAAGTCCATGCAATTGACCTCACGCAGGTTCGTTCTGGCGCGGTCTTCAAGCAGGTAGTGGGCACCAAGCTGAATTACGATCTCTCAGCCACTTTGTTTCGACCGGCTTCCCCGAAGATCAGCAACTTTGCGCATGTAGGACAATGCTGTCAGGCAGTCTTTGTTGTGACGGAAGCCATCCCGCGTCGGATTGAAGCAGCCGATGAGAGCACTGGCTTGATCATTTTGATCCTTGACCTACGCGCCCTGCTTCGTGGGTTTGACTGGCGCATCCACGAAGGCAACAGATTGCATTTGGGACCTCTAGTTCAGGAGTTTTCTCAGCACAAGCCGGTGGGATACGAGGTAGTCATCACAGGGGGCGCTTCTGTTGATCTGGGAGGCGAAACAGGGATACAGATTCATCCTGGCTGTGTGATTACAATTGAGTATTACCACGATGCCCTGGCAGACCCTGTCACTCCTGACATTGATTCTGCAGATATCCCTGACGGGGAGGAGGATGATGAAGAGGAAGAATCCAGCTCCTCTTCCTCGTCTCCCCCCACTCCCCCTCGCATTGGACCTCGGAACCGCATCAGAGGAAGTCCTGCCGCTGACGCGCGTTCTCGCTCTCGAAGCCGCACTCCACCTCCATGTGGAGCCAGTTCCTGCGTCTGGAAGCATGTTGCTAGCCTGTCCAGTGCTACTTCCAGTCCCATCCGAAGGAAGAACACTATGTGCCCTTTTCACCCTCGACTTGGCCACCCCGCACTAGAGGTTTTGGGCATTTTGATCCTTACTTTGGGCCTGCCTTTGGCTGCAGCCGCGTCTGCCACGCCCCTTTCATCCGACAGGCATAACCTGCACATCTTGCCCGCCGCTCTCGTTGTGGCCCTAGCTTCTTTCGGCGTCCGTTACTGCAAGTGGTTGGCAGAACCAACCACTAACAGCGAATCAGACCGGGCTTCTTTGGCCGCATTGCGCTATGCGGCACCCAGACTAGGCATGCCATGGCGATACCTGCCGGCTCACGATGCGCAGCATATCGCCAGTGAAGGTGAGTCTGTCTCAGACTCTTCTGAGGATGATGACTCAGTGCGCTGGGTCCATTTTGCAGTTGCGGCACCAGGCTACACACTCGAGCGACTCCTGACTGCCGTCCGGCTTCCTGCCACCATTCAAGAGACTGAGGCGGCTGTAAGCAATGCCCGCGCACAAGATGACGCTGTGCGCTTTCCTCTCTTGGTGCCGGCACACCCCCAGCCCTGTCCGGGTTCAGGGTTTTTCCTGGCTTTGCCACTTTGGGCAACACATGGTTGTGTTCTGTGTGTAGACACTTCCAAGCTGGACCACCGGGTCTTTGCAGCAATATCCCCTGCCTATGTGACGCTTGACAGCCTGCTTGATCTTGCTGATGTACGACCTAATCTTGGGGTTGAGGTCTTCCTGGGGGACTCTCAGTTCCCTCTCTCGCGTGAAGGACAGCACCATGTCCACACCGGACTTACTGTCACCATTGCCCCACAGCACACTGTCAGGGAGCCTACTTTCTCTTTGGCGCAGATGCTCATGTCCAGGTTCTCATGGAGCATCCACTCCACGGTACCAGTGGTTGAAGACTCTCCTGCATACTGCCTTGCCACAGCCCATGAGCACATCCTTTTTATCGCTGACCCCCATCGACCCACGGATTACAGGATCCACATCGCTGCATGTGTAGGCACAGATCGAAGGCGACTCAGGTTGTTTCCTGCAGAACCTCGCATCCCTAATGTGGCACTTAGGGGTTTAACTTGTCGTACTGTTTTGGCTGTCGATGATTTTGGGCCTCTTCCCAGTGATTGGTTTGATATCCTGATCGACGGTAGGGCCTTACATGCAGGTTGGACTGCTGTGCGGGTGACTCAGTCACGTGTGACCTATGCCGCCTTGTGCGCGACCCATACAAGCTACGTTCCGTCAGGCTGGAAACCCGTGCTTCTGGGCATCCCTGAAGACACAGAGTACCTGCATGTGCAACCAGGACAGGTGATTGCCATCGTCTTGCGCCGACTAGACCTTGCCGACCTTGATATCGATTTTCTTCCCAGGGCTTCACCAGACAGTGCTTCCCCTGTGCCCGCTTCCTCTGATGCACCTCCTGCTCAGCAGCATGCTTCCGAGACCCAAGGAGCTCATCCACATGATCAAGCGATGCAATCTGGAGATTCCCCTGTGGAAGAAAGGTTCAATACCCCACAGGTTTCTGCCTCTGAAGGTAGACCCGCAACGAGCGATGAGCTCCCTGAGTTCATCGACGGAATCTTCGTCGTGGTTGGGCCTGCATTCTCTCCTGAAATTGTAAGGGTTAGGTTTAGGTCTGGTGTGTCGCCGAGGGAGGTCATGCACCTGGTGAATGCTGCTCGGGAACCGACTCCTTGTTTCCAGCTTCCCCGCATTTTGTCGGTCTCTCCTCAATCTCAAGACGGGGTTGGAATCGTACTCGCCATGCCTATCTGGGAGCCCAATGGGGCCATCATTGTGATTGATAGCACTCGAGCCGCCGGTGACATATTTTCGGCTCAGGCTCCAAACCGTGCAACCCGCCAAACCCTGCTCATGTTGGCAGGCCTTCCTGTTGACCAAGGCCATCAGGTATATGCCCACGACCTGCCTTGGCCCCTCCCAGATGGTATGCTAGTTGACTTTGCGCACGGAGATGCTGTCATCATCCTTGCTGCGGCCAGCGGCCACTTCACCACGATCTCATTTGAGGAGATGCTACAGTCCGCTGCTGGCTGGAATCCCTCTTGGACTCCAAACCTCGATCAGAGGCACTTTGCTTGGGTTCTGTCTCATCAGCGGCCGTTCCTTTTTCACGTTGAGCCGGGCCGAATCTTGTCTCTCCGCAGAGACATTGCAAGGTACTTTGGAGTTAGCCTGAACGCTCTGGCTATCCATGCTCCAGATCCGGCCATTTCTGACTTCTCTCACCTCGGCAAAACAGTCCAAGGTGTCATAGCGGTCTCATTTCCATCCGCCCGCCAGCAACCTTCAGCTGCTAGACCGATTACTTTCTTCTTGGACTGCCGGCCATTGCTCCTAGGAGTCTCTTGGCGCTCCTCTGAGGACGGTTGGCTTCGTGCAGAGGGTCTCTGGGACCAGTTCATTCGAAGATGCCCTAGCGGATGGGTTCTGTGTTGGTATAGGCCCCACACCTTTCCATCAGTTCTACATTCGGATGTTCGGGTCTGGGATGGGGAAGTCATTATACTCATATTCCTCCCAATGTCCTTCTTTGAAGGAATGCCACAGGACCCTCACCATTGGGTGCCCCCACCAAGTGCGCCTCCTCCGGATTCCTCCGGTGACGGGGCCACATCCAGCCTCCCTAATGTTATGCCCATACAGCAAAGTGCCTCCCAGGACACCAGGCAGACAGGCGATGCAGGCACAGGGGGATCAGGAACCAATGAGGCTTTAGCAAGCGGAGAACAGTCAACAGAGTCTGTCCCCTGTGCTACAGCATCAATTCCGCAGAGTCGAGTAGTCACGTGGGACGAAGGTTTGAATTCCGACAGCCCTCCCTCGGGCAGCCTTAGTACCACCCCTGTCCTCCTCAGCGGGAGCTCCCTTGTGTGGGCGATTTTACTTTTCGCTTCCTTGCATCTGCCGGTACAACTCAACACTGCTGCCCGTTTGGTAGCTTTTGTCATTATTGCTACTGGTAGAGGAGGCAATGGAGGTTGTAAGACCCTAATACTTGCCACACTCCTGAGCACCTTCCTTGTGCCAGCTCAGGCAGTGTACCTAGGTGCACCTCTGCCAGAGCCTTCGCGAGGCTCACATTACTTTGCAGGAGGAGATTGTGTGTCTGTTGGGAGACCTCCTCCCATTTTCAGGCCGATTCCAACACCGGCACGTGCTTGGGTCTCCCACCTTGGGGATGATAGTCACTCTCAAGACTTTCTACCTTGTGAGCCCACTCCAGCGTGCAGCAGCGATATCCCCGATAAAGAGGACCTCCGCACTCTGTTGGAGGAATGTGTGGCAGACCCCGCGTCTGAGGCGTTCTTTCTTGCCGCCACTTTGCTCGAAACCCTTGTCGAAAACCAGGGCGACCCTCCATTCAGACTTACGCTCAATCTGCAAGAGCAGATCCCTCAACACACCCAGCCTAGCAGTTCCGTGCTCGGGCAAGGAGTTTTCTTCGGAGAAACTCCACTTGGGTTTACGTGGCAGCAGCTTTTCCAATTGCGACACACTTCTGTTGCTCTCACATCATGGCATGAAGTCATTCATCATCCTGATTTCTGGCAAGAGACTGACCTTGACGCCCGAGCTGTCCGAGCCACACAGCAGGCCGTGCAAGATGGCCACTCAGGCATTCTTTGCTACACGGACGGCTCCTTTACTCCGACATCGGGCAACGTCGATGCTTATGCTGGCTGGGCTTGCATTTTCGTTGACACCCTCTCGGGACACAAGTGTGCAAGTTTCGGAAAAGTGCCTGACTGGATTCTAGGCCCGAGCGAATACCTATCTGCCTATTCCGCTGAGTGCTTCGCTCTTACAATCGCAGCATTGGCATCATGGCTGGTCTTTCCTGACCGGCCTGTCACCTTTCTGTCTGACTGCGTATCAGCTCTCAAAGGCGCTGAGGGCAGCTATGTGTGTCGACCTGGCGGCTGCGCCCAAGCTATGAGCCATTCCTTTGATCTCCGTCGTGGCCTTTGTGATAAGGATGATCGCTTTATCTACGTTCCGGGCCACCAAGGCTGTTACTTTAATGAGGTCGCCGATCTTCTGGCTAAAGCAGGTTCACGCACCGACAGCGTTGCCACCCTTTTATGCCTTCCCGAATCTACGTTGGAGTTCTGGTTATCGAGCGGAGCCGGCCTGCTGCCTTGGGCAGCTACGGTGCTTCGACAATTGAAAGGCGATGCCTCCCTCCCCCCACAAGGTTCGCGAGACTTGGGGGATGATACTTGGCACCAAGGGCTCAGTTATCATCAAATGCTAGCCCCTTTCATGCCAGCTGAAGTTGAGAAAGCACCCGATGGCCAGATGGACACTCCATCCCTCTTTTCAATGGACCTGTGTATTGCCTCATTCAATACCCTCAGTTTGGGAGCGGGCCTTGAAACCGACTCTGGTGCCGGCTCCGGGTGTCAGGGTCTTCATCAAATCCCAGCTCGAGCCGCTCTTTTGGCGCGTCAGCTCCAAGACTGTGGGGTAGACGTTGCCGCCCTGCAAGAGACGCGCTGCCCACAAGGGTTCTCTAAGATAGGAGGCTTTCTTAGATACTCGGGGGGAGCAGACAAAGGCCATCACGGCACTGAACTTTGGTTTCGGGAGGGAAGCCGCGTCCTACGCACCTGCTCCGGCAACCTTTCAGATGCGATTTTTGCGGAGAGACATTTCAGCATCTTACATGCTGACCCGCGACGGATCATAGCCAGATACAGCGCGGGCAAGTTTGTTCTTGTATTCTGCTCTCTACATGCTCCGCACAGAGCCACGGAGAGGCAGTTGCTATTGACCTGGTGGCAAGACACACAGAAGATCCTATCCCGGCATCGCCGCAATGACCCTGTTGTCATAGCTGGGGATATGAACTGCTCTGTTGGCAGCATTCCCTCACCCCATGTGTCCGACTTCGGCCAGGAAGAGGAGGACACTCCAGGGGAGTTCTTTCACGAACTCCTTCGCACCAACCAGTGCTGGGTACCATGCACCTTCGAAACATGTCAAGACGGACCTACAGCCACTTTCTTCCAGAAAAGGAATGGCAGGCCCTGTCGCCCCGACTTCATTTCCGTCCCTAGCTCCTGGCAACATGGGTTCTGTCGCTCCTGGGTAGACCATGGTATTCAGGTTGCTACTAACGGGATAGATCACGTTGCGACCCTCCTTCACAGCCAAGTAAGCATGAGCATGCCTGGTAAATGTAATTCCAAGGGGCGCGCCCGACTGCCGCGGCAGATGTTTACTGATCCTGCCCTGAAGCCAGACATCCAGCGAGTCCTTGCATCTGTTCCACAGGTACCATGGCACACCTCGGTGCATGCGCATGCTGCCATTGTTGTGCAACACTTGCAGCAAGAGCTTGCTCAGGTTGCACCAATTAAGCAGTCAAGGCCTCACCACGTCTACCTACAGGATGCCACTTGGGCTCTGCAGAAACGCGTCTCTAGCCTCAAGAGGGGACTCAGCCGGCTTCAGCAGCACGTACGGACTGCAGCATTGGCCTTCTGCTTTGACCTTTGGGCTGGAACCGGAGCTTCAACAGTCTGTACCCCATGGTCCGGGGCATGGACCGAGCGGGCCCTGACCAGCATGATACTGCACATGTATCGAATCCGGGTGGACAGCAAAGCCCTCCGCACAGCCTGCCAACAGGACAGAGCGATGTATACCAATGCTTTGGCCGAGCGACTTGCAACAGGCCCCACTTCTGAGGTGCACGATGCCCTTCATAAGCTGCTCCGGCATAAGCGCAAGAAAACCTACGCTCCGGAGCCTTTACCACAGGTCAAAGACGCGCAAGGACACGTGTGCCCAGATGCGCCTTCAGCCCTTAAACGCTGGCGGGAATATTTTGCGGCCATGGAGGCTGGCACTACCATGGCCCCCTCAGAGCTAGGCCCATGCCTTGATGTCGGTTCCATCCTTTGGCCTGCCCCGCAACATGTAGGTGACCTACCTACCAAACCAGATCTCGTACGTCTCATGCTCTCAGCCAAGTGCGGCAAGGCTCCAGGGATGGATGGCCTGCCCAATGAACTCCTGCGAGGTTTTGCCGCGAACTGTGCTGAAATTCTCTTTCCCCTCATGATGAAGCTAGTCTTCAGAGGTCAAGAGGCAATGGGCTTGAAGGGTGGAATGGCAGTGTGGTTTCACAAGGGACGTGGCGCGAAGGACCTTTGTGAATCATTCCGCCAAATCATTCTGCTGCCCTGTTTTGCCAAAATCTTGCATCAAGCAGTTCGGCCGGCTCTTTGTGAGCTGTATGTGCGACGCTCCCCCTCTCTTCAGCTCGGAGGCAAGCCTGGACAATCCGTGTGCTTTGGAGCGCACCTGGTCAGATCCTTCCTTCGTTACAACTGGGGGCGGAAACGTAGCTGTTTTGTTCTGTTCTCAGATATTGCATCTGCCTTCTACGCAGTGGTGCGGCAGCTTGTTGCTGCCCCTCGTCTCGAAGGCGAAGCCAGCCAGGACATACCGGAATCGGTTTGTAAAGGGCTAGGCATCTCTGAAGATGAACTTGAAATTCTAAGGCAGCACGTAAAAGAACAGACCGGGCTCCAACGTGCAGGTGCTAGCCCTTGGCTAGAAGCCCTGTCGCAACAACTCTCAGATCGCTCATGGTTCATGCTTAAAGACGACTCCTCAGCTGTACTCACAGCTAGAGGGACCCGACCTGGGTCTTCTTGGGCAGACATCATGTTCGGCATGCTGATGGGCAGAGTCCTTGACGAACGTGATGCCTTGGAGGGCCTAGACGACCACTCTGCGGCTGAAGCCCCTCGGATTCCCTGGGATGGCCAAAAAGTGCTCACTGAGTGTTCCGAGCAGAGCGAAACAATCCCACTGGGAGACCTCATTTGGGCAGACGACACAGCCACCATGCGGCTATGCAGGGCGAATTCTCGCCTTGATGCCGCTATCGCCGCTTGTGTCGGAAGCACTTGCGATGCTTTTGCCAATTTTGGATTCCGGATGTCTTTCGGACCGAACAAGACGGCTGTCCTCGCACAAGCATCAGGACCCGGATCACGCACAGCCCGCCGCACTCTGTTTGGGCCGGTCGGGCACAAAGGTGTTATTCAGGCCTTGCGAGAATCCTCCCAGCCAGTCGGAGTGCCTCTGATCGCCACCTACCGACATCTAGGTGTGTTTCAGGCGACTCGCGGCTGCATGCTAGCTGAGATCCGCTATCGTACTGCCCAGGCATGGGCTGCCTTCTCTGAGGGCCGGAGGAAGATCTACAAGGCCAAAGGGGTCCCAATCCACCGGCGTGCCTTCATACTCAAGGCGTCCGTCCTTCCCAAACTGCTCTATGGATGTGGGTCCTGGCCCCCTTTGCAGAAACGGGAGCTCCAATCCTTTGGCGGGACGCTCTGGTCCCTGTACCGGGCCATATGCGGCATTCCTGCGAGCGGAGATCAGCACTTTCATGCCAGCACTGTGCTCGCCCTGACTGGGCTGCCTGGTCCCGTTGACCTACTGCATGTGCAGCGTCTGCTGTACCTTCGGCTATTAGTCACGCAGGGTCCGAATGAGTTATGGGCTGCGGTGCGAGCGGACATAGCCTACCTTACTGCGCTACGCAACTCCCTGGACTGGCTCTTCTCCTGGACGCACCAGACCAGTAGTTTGCAGCACCCACTCGAGCACTGGACCAAGTGGAGAGATTTCATCTGCGATCAACCAGGAAGATACAAAGGGCTGATCCTTCGAGCTCAAGCACTTGCCAACTGTCGACACCGAGTCATCGCAGCGCTCGATGGCCTTTATCGGGCTCTGAGGGACCAAGCGCCCTCTGTTGGGGCTGCCACAAGCATCGGTGCTGACATGACTGAAGCCTGTATCCCATGCGCCAAACTATTTCCCTCAAGAGTTGCGTGGTCCGGCCACGCTGCGCGTGTTCATGGATACAGGTCAAGAGCCTTCCTCCTAGGACGTTCCCCCTTGTGTTTTGCGTGCGGAAGAGCGTATGGCACAGTCGGAAGACTTCGTCGCCATTTGCTTGCCAGCGCCCGCTGCATTGCCAATTGGGGATCCTTTTCCCCTGCGGAAGGTACATGTGATCTTCTTGCTTGCAATCATCCGCAGATGCCTCCCTTTCAGGTTCCAGGTTCGTTTGGGGAGCACGCACCTTCCGACACATGTGAAGACCTCTCCTCGGTTCTTCTTTCCGAGCTTCACGCCTTGCCGGTCTGTGACGAATCAGTGGTCTGGGACACTGTGATTGAAGTCATCGAACCTCTCCAGGTTCTTAGAGCTACTGTACGTCGCTGGGCCAACGACCGTGCCGAGGACGAGTGGATTCAGCGCGCAGCTGACAATGTGATACTGCTCCTGGACCCAGAGCTTATAGGTGAGCCGAGTCATGCTTCTAGGGTAAAGGTCGACAAGCAGACTTTTGCCAGCGACTCTTGCCCTACTTGGGCTCCGCTACCATCCTTCCACCTGCCGGCCTGCACAGCCGGCCCTCGCTTCGACTTGCAGCCTCCACCGCCTGTCACCATCTCTCCCTTTGTTCCTACCAGTACCAGCCTTCGACTTGGGTTGGCGTACAGCGACTGGCTGGAACAGGCTTGCTCAACTCTGGCCAAAGGCTTTGAGCTCGCCATCAATGATAGATGCGACTTCCAGGTGCGCTGTGATGGCCTAGCCCACGGACTGGGACCAGCTAAAGACTGGCTGGTTTCGGCGGGCTTCACATTTTGCAAGTCGGGACTTCGGTCGTCATTTTCAGTTTCACCCGAATTCAAGTGCTAGGCGAGCGTCGTCGACGACACTACCGCAGAGAATGGAAAATGGGGTTTAGAGTCTTGGGAAGTACTTAGAGAGTTTGTCGTGTTTAACTTTAAGGTTATGAAGGGGTTATGGGGGAGTTTCCGAAAATAGGGGACCCTAATATAGTACCCTAAACAGTATATAGGATTATTTTTAAGGCTCCAGAATAAGGTACCCTAATACCCTAATTGTGGGTTGAAGGTTTGCCAAGTCCTTGGGCATGGTTGCACAGGGGTCTTGTGGGGTGTTTGAGCTCTACGGCTCCAGGAGTCGGGCTACTTGAAGGCTCATGGGACTTAGTAAGTAAGGTTATAAGTAGGTTATAAGTAGCATAACCCCACTTAGGGGACTTGTAACCCCCATTATAACCTGCTTACTAAGTCCCATGATCCTCCAAGTAGACTTTTTTGTCGGTGTTGAGGGTTTGGGCCGTGGTAGGGACAATCCAACGAGTCAGAGACCTCACGTATAGACTTTTCTAGGATGCCCAGTAGTACCCTTATTCCCTTTTTGTAGTCCTAGGTTCCTTATAAAGGTACCCAATACCAAAAAGAGAGGCCTTTTTATTCTTAGGTTACTGGGTATCCTAGATAGTCTCAACCCGGCACAGCCCGGACCCTAAACCCTAAACCTTATAGTCGCTTTATACCTTAAACCTGAGATCTTCGACCCGACGCTCAAAGAAGCCCAAAGCCCCAGCTTACGAACTAAGACACGCATTTGGGTTTAGGGTTTAGGGTCCCGAAGTGCGCGGAATCCTTGGAGCCGGCCTTTCCCAATTTCTGGTCCTAGACCTTGAGGCCGGCCCCGACAAACCCCAAAGCCCTGCCTGGACCCCAAAAGTATGTAGAATTGGAGCCTTTTTATAGGTTTTCGGCCATTAATTTACCTAATTACTTTTGGGGTCTAGGTAAACCTCAAAGCCAAAGCCCGAAATCTGCAAAACATCAAGCCCTGAACCTCAACGCCCAAACCCTGTTCCCCAAACCCTAAAAACCTATATAAGCCCAAAGCCCAAACCCTGTTCCCTACCAAAGCCCAAACCCCGAGCCCTGTTCCCTAAACCCTACAAGCCCCCCTAAGCCCAATGCCCAAAGCCCGAAACCCCCCTAAGCCCAATGCCCAAAGCCCAAACCCTGTTCCCTAAGCCATAAAACCCCCGTAAGCCCAATGCCCAAAGCCCAAACCCTGTTCCCTAAACCCTAAAACCCCTATAAGGCCTATAAGCCCAAAGCCCAAACCTGTTCCCTAAACCCTAAAACCCCTATAAGCCCAAAGCCCAAACCCTAAACCCTGTTACCTAAACCCCAAAACCCTTATAAGCCCAAAGCCCAAACCCTGCTCCCTAAGCCATAAAGCCCCCCTTAAGCCCAAAGCCCTAAACCTCCACCGAGAGATCCAAGGGTAAAAGGAGGGACCCTTAATAAGGACCCCTAGGTATATACCCTTAATATAGCTATTATATAGCCCATTATATATCCCATTATAGGGTAGGGGTCCTTCTTAAGGGTCCCTCCTTTTCCCCTTTGAGAAGATATTTGCCCGCAGGAGCGAAAGTCCAAGGTCTCGTTGATTCGGTCCTGGGCTGAGGCCTCCCCCGCAAGCTCGAGCTATGGGTAGTTCTAAGGGTGCCTTTTAAGGGCCCCTTTAAAAGGATCTATAGGGATTCTATGAGGGTATAGGGTTTAGGGCCTACTTGGAGGTTCATGGGTAGCTATAAGTGGGATTATGAGTAGGGTAGCTATACTTATAACTCCTCTTAAGGGACTTATTACATCACTTAAATCTATCCATGAACCTCCCAATTAAAATTATTTCTGTCGCTAGGTCGTTTGCCAGCATTGTTACTATGAGCTATTAGCGTATTAGTATTGTTATCGCTGTTACTAGTATGTATATCAGTAGTGTTACTATTAGTATGGCTATCGCTGTTATTGGTATATTTCATGTTTATCATTAGTGTTATTCTTATTCTTGCCACTGCTGTGCTTTTCTTTTCAAGATATTTGGCGTCACAAGGTTTGTGGTTGGGGGGGTTGTGTGTGGGCTGTCTCCGTCTCCGTGTCGGTGTGTGTGCCCTACCCATAGGCTCCATGGTAAATAGTTCCCTTTTGGGATTTAGTGTGTATTTCAGTGAATTTGGTGTGTATTTGTTTAAAATGTAAAAAACCTAAACCCTTTTGGAAGGTTTAATGTAGGGATTACCTTATAGGGAGGGTTCTGAATCGAACCACAAAAAGGAAATACTATGGAGCCCTAGGGAAACTGCTTCTCGAGTACAACTCCAAGGTCGAAGGCCGAAACGCCTCAACAACCAAACCGCAAAGCTGAGACCCTAAAACGCCGAAATTGAGGCCCAAATCCCTGAACCCCTAAAACCTAAACTCTGCATTCCCAAACAAGAGATCTTAACCCCTGAACCCGTTAAAAAAGATCTGCATTCCCAAATAAGAGATCTTAATCCCTCAGCCCTGAAACCTAAACCCTGCATTCCCAAATAAGAGATCTTAACCCCTGAACCCCTTTAAACAAATTCCGCATCCTTGAATAACGAGACCTTAACCCTTGAGACCCCTTTAAAAAAGAAATCTGCATCCTTGAATAACTAGGATGCCCAGTAGTACCCTTATTCCCTTTTTGTAGTCCTAGGTTCCTCATAAAGTTACCCAATACCAAAAAGAGAGGCCTTTTTATTCTTAGGTTACTGGGTATCCTTGAATAAAGAGACCTGCCAGGGCATGTGGCAGGAAGGCCAAGACATCCAGAGCCTGGTCACCAAGAGTGCCGAGGTCGGTCCAGGGGCTTTTAGGTGGCTCTGGGTGTGTAAGGCTCCTTTAAAGGAGCTACAAGGGCTCCAAAAAGGGATCTGTAAGGGCATTATGAGGATTTAGGGCTTAAGGGTGTTGGGTTTAGGGGAAGAGGGTTTTAGGGTTTTGGTGGTTTAGGGTTTTTCGGGTTTTAGGGGTTTAGGGTTTCGTGTTTAGGGATTTGGCTTACTGTTTAGGGTTCAGGGCCGGGCTTCTACTTGAAGACTTTCTTTACGGGCGCTCCTTAGAGTCTTAGAGCTTTTGAGAGTTCTTTCGGTCCCCCTCTCCGGTGTTCTGGGGGTTCGGGAGGCGACTTGAGGGTCGACTGGTGCTTAAATTTGCTAGGGCTCGGGCTTTGGGAAATTTAGGAGGGTTTAGGGTTCAGGGTTTTGGGTTCAGGGTTTTGGGTTTAGGGATCAGGGTTTAGGGTTTTGGGTTTACGGTTTATAGTAGGAGCCAGAAAGTTGGAACATCAGCGTCCTCATGCCCTCAAGGTAGAGAAAAGGGGTCACTGATTCCGGTGCAAGATCCGGCTTGGGAACCATGGGTGGGCAGTTTGCCCTAAACTAAACGTGAATCCGTAAACATCTATATCGGGCTCGCGATGTATTAGAGGATCAGATTTGGGCTTAAACACTTAGTACCATGTAAACATAGTGATATCATGAAGCTCCCCAAACCTTGCTATGTTGTTCATGGGGAGGCACGATCACCCTGAACTGCTGACGCCGCGCATACCTTTTATGACCGTCTGCTACAGGTGAACCGTCCCCGTATTAAGGGTGTTCAACCCCAACAGGGTTCAAAGGGTGATGCCTGAATGCAGGACCTTGCAGAACAGCTGCAGCTGAAGCCGCTGGAGAGGCAGCCGAACTGTCGGCCCTTTATAGATGTCTATGCATCTGCGATAGTAGACACTTAGACTCACTATATAAACCCTAAACCCTAACCCCCAAAACCCCTAAACCCTAAACCCTAGAAGCAGATCAAGGCCCATCAGCCCCTTCACACTTCTTGGACAGCCTCAGCCCTGGGAGTCGACTGTAAAGACTATCCCACTCCGCTGTAAGCACGAACCCTAAGGCCCCAAAGTAGTTCCTTTTTGGGGTTCATATATAGAATCCTATAAGGTAATCACAAAAAGGAACTACTTTGGGGCCTATGGGAAGAGACTGAACAAGGCAGCTTGGGTCGAAAATGTAAGCTTCCCAGCACACAAAACCCTGAATTCTGAATGCCTGCGTGTCGACTCGCTTCGTTCGCAGGGCCGGTTTCTGCAAAGGCCGCAACCTGTATGTTGACGGCACGATGGAAACTCCCGAAACATGCAAATATCCTATGATCGAGAATCCGGAATCCAAGACACCAGCAAGACGCCGGAACTCGCACGGACCTAAATGCTTAAAGCCCGAGGCTAAACACAGAACCTTGCACCAACCCCGTGCCTACAGCATGCTACTTCTTGGACCCGAGAACCTCCATGTTGCGAGTCTCATCTGATGCTTTCCTCGTATAGCTGCACGATGTCTTAAGCCCTCAACTCCTAGCTGCTTTAGGGCTTGGTGTTGAATTCTGAGGACAGCTGCTCCTTAAACAGGTTGGCTCTCTGGGGCTTTCGGTGGAACCCAGCACAGTAAACCCTAAGCCCGAGAACCGAAAACCTTAACCGAAGGAAGCGCTTGATGGCTGCGGTCGCCGAGGGCCCTCAGACGCAGGAGGACTCTCGACAAGGGCGAGAGCCCAATGCAAGTAATTGACGAAAATTGCTACAAATTCAGGAATAGTAAAGCTGAAGGGTTATATTCATGATGTGTACAGATGGAACTGACATGATGGTTTGAGGACTCACACCTTAAATTAGAGGGTCTCTATTTGCAGTGCATTCCTGACCTGCGGGTCCATTGAGGTTACCACGATGCAAAGACCCCGCATGGTCTCGTCGCGCTATGTCCATCCATGATCATCGTCCCTTAGTTGCTGATGTCACTCTGCATCCTCATCACTTTCTTTTCTCCTCACCTGCGGCGTCACCATCACCCAGGATGAACTCTCAACCAGATGTAAAATATAACCCTATACCCAAGACTCGAACATAGAGGCCTAATTCTGTCAGGCCTATGTCCTCATATCAGAATCACCCAGCCCAGAATCCTACATCTCCTGTTGCCACCTCGAACACTACAGCAGTCATCCAGGAAGATGGCCGGACAGCCGAGCTTTCCTTGGCAGAGGACTTTTGCTGCTGTTAAGCATTGAAGGTGCAAGGCCAGAGAGGCAAAGCCGTAAAGCCGTAGGATGGTTTAGGGTTTAGGGTAAATGTTTCTCGAACCGTTCTTTCCAGGGCTCTATAAGGGACCCTTACATCCTAAACCCCGAACCACGCTTCTTGCCAGGACGCAGCAGTGCGCTATCGCCGACTGCGGCCTCTAGTGGACCGGGTGGCAAAGGCCATCAGCCAAGATGCTGAAGTGGATATAGTACCCTAGTTAAACCCTAAACCCCGACTTCCGACCGACCTCCAATTCGAAGCTCGCAAATCCTCCAAACCCTGAAACCCCCCAAAACTGCGGAAAGACCTGGAAGAAGTGTATTGCATCGCCCTTTGATCTTTGATCCCCCCAAGAAAAACCTATCAGCCCCAACCCCGTCCCTTCTTCAGAAAACAGCATAAACAAAATAAAGCTCAGAGGAACTCCCGGCCGGTCTCGATCCTGCTGCTGTTGCAGACGAGGCCCAGGGAGCTTTTGCCCCTTGGAAGGCTACTCTCGGAGCCACCGTAAGGTTGCTAGACGCTCAGCAAAAGGCGGTCATGGCTATCGCATAAATAACATATAGATTTATATTTACCTTTGTTTATATCTTGTATTTATCTGTATTTATTTATAGTATAAGGCGGTCACAGCTGTCTTCAGAGTTACCATGAGGTCATTATAAGGTCATTATAAATGTAGTCTAATGGGCCCCACAAGCCTATTCTAACTTTTCAGGCCCCCCTATATTAGTCAGTATGAGGTTGCCTTCAGAGTTATCAGATCGGGGATCTACTGTGATGTAACCCCGGGTCCCAGGTTGTCTGGCGCCTTCATCATTAATCTGCACGACCCAGATGTAAGACAAGCGAAAAAGCAGAAATCCCCAAAGATCCTTTTGACTGGGAAGGCATACAGATGCTGTTGATCCTGGAAACGGGGGGTTGTTCTGCATGACATGCTTTTTGCGCACTCCTCAATCTGAAGTGTGACTCTGCAGTCTCTGAGAGGATGTGGCTATGCTGTTGGCCATCCTCCGCGTCAAGACCGATTGCCTCAGAGTTCAGATTTCGGATTCTATTCGAATCTTTGGGCCGTTGTTTCAGACTTAGGGTTCAGTGTGGGCACGGATTCGCCTCCGGTGGCGTAAGTAGGCCTTGGCTTTCTGCTGCTTGCGCATGTTCATGAGCTACGTCCAGAAGGATCACCGCGTGCTCTCGGCATGCCCTGAAACCCTGATCAGCTAACCCCTAAAGGGAACTCCAGAAAGTTGGAATATGGTTTCAGGGTAGGATACCCTATAATTTACCATAAAGGGTTCAGGATAATCATATTCCAACTTTCTGGCTTCTACTGTAAGCCCCGGATCTGCAACGATGCATGTTAGCCTTCCTGCTTAGTGGAGTAGAGCTTCAGCCTTGCATCCAAATCCTCGGAAAGTGAAGGAGCCAACGTGCCTTGGAATCGTGAAGCGAGCGAGCTGAGCTTTGCGCCAGACACCCAGCTGTAGTGAGGGGAATGGAACACGCACGCCGCAAAATCTTACGAGATATCGAGCACGCATGGAGCTTAACAACAGTAAGGTTCAGCAAGCGCAATAATGGACAAGGACCTTCTTGTCTTGTAGTAGACTTAACAGTAGTCTTCGTCGTCGTCGTCGTCACCGTCGTCGTAATTGTCGGCGTCTTCAAACTTCTATCCAACAGGAGTTGTAATGGCGAAAAAGGCGGCAGTAACATATATGTCTGCAAGATCGCTTACAAGCTCATTGCAACTATGATCCTAGGCATGCCCACCATCCTTGCTAGCCATCCTCGTCATCATCATCATCATCATCGCCGTCATCACCTTTACCATCATCCCAACGAGAGCCGCTCAGTCCTTAAGCCCAGATGCTACGCTGCTACTGAAGCATCAGCCGTAAGTAACTTATGGCGGATCATCGCATTTCAGTCCATATTGCGGGGCTGTTGCTTGGCATTCTTCTTGTTGGCTCTTGGGACTTTAACTTTGTGGGTTTCTATATGAACTATAATGCGGGGGCTAGAAGTTTAACTGTTAGAAGGAGTTCAGAAGTCAGCCAAGGTTGATCCAGGACAGTATCAGAGGAGATCATTCCTTCCGATCTGTATGGGAGATTCCGAAAATTAGGGGTCCTTATTTTGGGGTCCTTATAATAGGGATCCTACTATTTAGGGTACTATATAAGGGTCCCCTATTTTCGGAAACTCCCGTATAGCCCCAACTGCGGCAACCGACGACTGACAAAAATATAGGGCTGCACTGTTGACTTTAGAGATAGGTTGTGGAACTATCAGGCGAAAGCGGCATAAGCCTTTCTAGTCATCTTGACCCAGTAGGCAGTATTTTATGTTGGTATGAAGATGCCGTCATGGCAGTCGTCATAGCAGTCAAAGGCCGCAGGCAAGTTACACATCGTCACAATTTTCATTCTAATCGTCATCATCATCATCAGCATCATCATCATCATCATCATCATCGGTCATCATCATCAGTCATCATCAATAATCATCATCATTCATCATCGTATCGCAATTCCCCGCCAGGCAGCTTTTACGACCCATCGAGGAGTCTCAGTTCTGGTGCCAAAGCTGAGCACAGATTTTGGATGTTGACTCCGTTGTTTGCATTACATGGTTTCGGGCTTCATGTTCTGGGTGCAGGGGATGATGCTGCAGGGGTGTGGAGGTAGGGTGTCTTTTTGGGGTGTAGGATCTGGATCTAGATCTCTGATTTTCCATGCGGCAAGGGCTAAATGGCACGCTGCCATGGCTTCTCGAGCTTCTTTGGCAATTGCTGCTGATGGCAGACTGTCCTCAAACTCTAAACGGCGTAAACGGTGAAGCAGCATGTCATCCGACAATCTGCGACACCCCAACACCTTCACCCCTGAAGCCCGAAACACCCATGCCCTAAACCCCATTTTTGAGCCCGAAGCGCGGACCCCTCTGATCCTTAAGCCTTGACTCAGCTTCAACCCGAAGCATGCGAAAACCTGCAGCCCAAAGATCCCTCACGCCATGTGAACCCTAGCCCTACAGGGCTCCAAGTATGCAAACAGCACATGCTTTAGGGTCGAAAGTCTGTATCTAGTACCTATACTGTGGGCTGTTTGGATCCCCAGGGTAAGTAGCGTGCTCCAAAAAGAAAAGGAAAAGTACAAACAGCAACGACAAAAAGAGAAGAGAAAGTAGTGCTCGGGAAGCCAGGGTATTCCCTGTGTCCCAAAGACTGCTCTCAGCAACACTGCCCAAAAAGTGCCACCCGGTTCAGGGTTTAGGGTTTGGGGTTCGTAGTTTAGGGTTCAGGGTTTGGGGTTCGGAGTTTAGGGTATAGGGTCTGGGGTTCAGGATTTACGTATTCAGGGCTTGGGGCCTTCAAGGGGGTTGACATCGCTGGTTCGGTACTGTGTGTTTCTTTCGGCTCTTTATTTGGGCTGCGCGTGGCTTGCTTAGTATTTCATTTCTTGTGCCACCTGTTTCCGGTATTCTTCCGTTTCTGATTGCTGCTAGCCGCGATTACATGGGCTCAGGTGTCATGTGCGCTTCCGGCTGACGCCACTTCGCACACTGTTTGTCGTTGTTGTTTTGCGTCTTCGCCGCTCGCTGGTGTTTCGTAATCCTTAGTCTCGGCTTGTTGAGTACGACCTGCGTCAAAGCTAGTTGTGGTGCTGGGTCGTTGGGTCGTTTGCCAAGATATCAGACATCAGATTGTTACCGGGGGTCGTGGTTTCAATCCAACGAAGCCATGTCAATCTGCACGAACACGCCGCCATATTCGCACACAGGGCAGCTTGATCTCAGGCCGTTGAGGTTTGAGCTTAGGGATTTGGAGTTCGGGCTCTGTTTACGGACCTGCATCGTAGCTGGCGACTACTAATCCGTGGTCTGACGCTTGCGACGAGCTGCCTACTTGCGACCTGCCGCCACCCTTGGTCCCAAGACCTCTGTCTACGGCCAGAAGGCAGGAACACTGAGCCCTGAAATCATCAACATCCGAGAGTACTTGTCGCTAGCTCTGAGTTGTCTGAAGTGCCAAAACCTACAAAATCGAAGCCGTAGCCGAAAGAGTCTGAACACGCGAACCCAGTTACCTAGTTTTCCTCAACAATGCTGCGAACGCCAAGCCCGAAGTCACAAAACATCCTAGGCTCCTACTTTTCAACTTGAAGTCCAGAGCGGTATTTAATCAAAGCCACAACAACCCTATAAGCCATAAACCCGACGCTCTCAACCTTACTGCGGGAGTGCTCCTCGCAGTGCAGACAACCCATGGCTGCTACCAGGAGCTGCTTCCGGCGGTTATTCCCAGAGCCTCTAAAACCTCTGAAGTAACGAATATACTATACTTAAAATCATAATAGGTATTACCCTAAAACCCTAAACCCTAAACCCTAATTATCCTATTAAGATTCATAATTAAGAAGGTATATTCCTCAGGTAAGCGGTTCTGGAGGCTTTGGGGTAATGATGGGTTCCTCCAAAAGAGTGCCATGAGGAGTTTAGGGTTCAGGGTTCCTCTAACTAAAAGAGTTGTATAATACAGGTTCGATGAGGATTGGTATAGGGGGGTGCTTAGGTCTCACAGGATTCTGTAAGGGCTGCCACAGGGAGATTGGGGTCTTTGAGATTGTAGATGTTGAACTCGGTGATGTTTGCAGTATCGGAGATTTCTTGGGGAACGTTGGCTCCGTTGAACTGCTTTGAGTTTAAGGGCTTCAGTGCAGTAGGTCTTTCGATTTTGGAATTCCGTGGCAGGCAGCAGCAAAAGCAGAAACATGCACAACGACTGCAGCAACAAAACAACCACAAGAATTTTTCACTCAGCCCACCATCAGCACCCCTGCACCCGCCACCTGTGGTGCCAACATCCGCCGGCCAAAGGGATGCAAACACTGCAAGCACCATGACCTCCAGCCCTCCACCACCACCACCACCACCACCACCAACAACAACAATAACATCAACATCAACAGAAAGAACATCAGTGACAGCACAGCAAGAGCAAGGGCAACAACAGCAAAACCTACCACAGCATAACGAGAGCAGCAGCACAGCAAAGGCGGCAGCAACAACAACAACAACAACGACTACGACAACAACAACAACAACAACGACAACAACAACAACAACAACGGCACCAACAACAATAACAACGCCAACTATGCCGCCGCCACCACCACCAGCAATAATGGTAATAACAATAATACTAATAATATGAACAGTAAGAAGTTAATAATATCAATCACAATACTAATAACAATATTCATATTAATAATAATATTGATAATAATAATAATGCTAATAATATGAACAGCAAGAAGTTAATAATAACAATCACAATACTAATAACAATATCAATATTAATAATAAGATTGATAATAATAATAATGATGATAATAGTAATAATAGTAATAATAATAATCATAATAATACTAATAATAATAATAACTATAATTATAACAGCACACAACAAGAACAACACGATCATCAACAACCCCAGCCACAACCACAGCTACAACCACAACCATAACATACCACAACCACAGCCACAACCATCACAACCACAACGACAAGGACACCGACGACGACTACATCATCATCATCATCATCAACAACAACAGCAACAGCAATATACCCAGCCATGTCAGGGCCACATGAACAGCAGCAGGATGACAAGACAGCTGAAGACGTCACAATTTCTCACTGCACTTGCAACAAGCAGAGCACTCTTAGGATCAAGTGCCGTTTCGCATAAACAAAGCAGTTTCACGGAAGGATCTCGCCCTAGCAAGCCCAAAACTCCAAACTGAAACACTCCCCAGTTCATATGCCTTCTACCACCCCAAAGCCTAGCCTCCAACCCTTAAACACCCACACCCTAAACTTTAGCACCTGTTAGTCTTTACCCTAAGGCCCCAAAGTAGTTCCTTTTAAGGGTTCATATATATAGAATCCTATAAGGTAATCCCAAAAATGAACTACTTTGGGGCCTATGGGTAAACCCAGAAAACCTTCGACCAGCTCATGACGAGAATGCAGGCTGCTCCCGATCCTTCGCCGCAGCGTGGCCCCTGTGGGCCGCTTGAGGCCACCTGGTTCCTTTGCTTACCTTTGGTTAGTAGGAAATGGAGGAATGGGGTACAATTACAACTAAGCTACTATTACTACCATTCTTCGTAAACCCTAAACTACTATTACTACCATTCTTCCATTCCCTACCAACCAAAGGTAAGTTTGGAGACAGAGTACCCAGAGACTCCAAGATCCATTAATTAAGGAATCTTCCTTAAGTCATACTGGGGATCCTACTATGATTTAAGGAATATTTCTGAATTGAGGGATGTTGGAGTCTCTGAGTACACCCTGGCGTTCCCTATGGTACACCCCTAAAGCACACCTGGTTAATTTGTCAAATACGTCATGCATAGCCTGAAAGCAACCCCGCAC